TGTTTGAGCACTAGAAGTGAAGACCACCGTTCTATCACAAGTTACACTTGCATGGACTTTATTTATTTATATATATATATATGATATATTATTTATACATATATATATTTTCTATATATGCACTTAAAAAAGTTTTTTTGTATACACGTGTTCACTTTTTATTATTGATGAGCACTCTTCACTTTAAATAGTGAATGAGAAGAAGGAATTTTTTGGAGATATAAGATTATTTGTCACTGGTTTGTTTGTTTATTTATCATCACTGATATATTATGGATTCAGTTTGATTTTTTCTATTTAATATACACTATTGGTTATAATGTTCCAGTGTTTAACAAGGAACTGTTAACACTATAGCACTTACACTCACTGTTGGCACCTTAATATATATATATATTTATTTATTTAGCGCTTCACTATTTTATAGTATATATTTGTTTACATAACTATATACAGTATTCCAGCATCCTCTCTGGCTTTGTTGGAAGAGTTTCTAAATAAATATGTGAAAAACCAAACCTGCACATAACACAATTACCAAAATATTTATTCAAGATATTGTTACAAGTTCTACCTTAAAAAGAAAATTATAATCACATGAGGATAACATAAGGCACCTTTTGATGTTTCTGTTCTACAACAAATAAAATAGTTATTGTGTTACAGAATTACAGTGATCGGTACAGGTTGCTTTATACTACATTTTAAACAAAAGAATTGCATTACAAAATGTGCTATTTAAGGCAAACAACGGCAAGGTCACATGGTCTCAAGTCAAGAGACAATAATAGAACCTTGAAGGTAGGATTTCAGCATGTATTTGAAATTGGCCTATAGGAATTCTCTACCTTCAGATTTAGCTTTCTGGTTTGTGGATGTTTTCTTCATACCTGTCAAAGTGCACGAATGCTGGCATTTTCTGTCCTGTTTACAGATACCTAATTTTACCTGCATATCGAACATGGTATTGTAGTAAACTATACAGAAAACAAATTACTTGGTAATTTTCCCCCTAAAACTACACAAAACGCACAACTTTTTTATACTGAACCAGCAAAGCACAGTGGCTAAATGGTTAGCACTTCCACCTGGCAGTAATGCGCTCATTGGTTTGTATCCCAACCACGGCACCACCTGCCTAGAGTTTGCATTTTCTCCCTGTGCCTGTGTGGGTTTCATCCAGGTGCTCTGGTTTCCTACCACAATCCAAAGACATGCTGGTAGGTAAACTGGATCTTGTCTAAACTGGCCCTAGTATGTGTAAGTTAGGGACCTTAGATTGTACACCCCTTGAGGGTTAGGGACTGATATGAATGTACAATATATATATATATATATATATATATATATATAATATATATATATATATATAGCGCTGAGTAATTTTACGGCACTATATAAGTACCTGTAATAAAGAAGTATGCCTGTCCTGGTCACAGGAAGGATTACCATGCTTGAGGTAATGTGGTGTGTGTGAACCCGGAAGGCAGGGATAAGGAGTGGACAAACATTCTGGTGAAATGCATATATAACACTTAAAAAAAAAATAAAATAAAAAAATGCTTCTTGATCTCTGAGAGTCAGTCTGAGGTGCAGGTGGCATAGTGAAAATGTTTAGTGCAGGCTTAGAGATCAGTCTGTGTAATATAATTACTAAAGTGTTAATGTGTTATGCACAAAAAGATACAGGTGTAAAATCGAGCAAATGTGCTATTGAGTGTAAGGGGAAAAATAAAGTTCAGGGTTATTGGGGTCTATATATGTTTCCATCAAAAACTTACACTGCTTTTACATATTCTTCTAATAGTGAATCTTGGATAAAAGTTGTGCAAATCTTGAAATTGTGAAAATATTGATAAAAAGACAGCAGCACCAAATAGCATGAAAAGCACTCAAGTTACGGTGCATTGAGGAGGCTGCATGGCCAGGCAGCACTGATAGGCTGCATTGATGAGGTGGCACTGGGGGGCATTGATGAGGAGGCACTGATATGCAGCAATAATGGGCACTGATGATCAGGGCACTCTGACATTTGCCGGTTATCGGCAGTACTTTCCCCACACTGTGACAGTGTGAGGAAAGTGCTGCTGATAACCGGCAACTGTATTTACTTTGTGATCTGCTGTGTCCTTGGACACAGCTGGTCACGTGGTAAAAGGCTACTGTGATTGGCCTTTTTACCTAGTTGTGTGATCAGCAGTGTCCGTAGGACACAGCGATTGCTGACAGTGCCGGGAGCACGCGTTCTGGGAGGATGTCATATGATGCCCTCCCAGAACTGGACAACCGCGCTGTAGCGGTCATTCGGCTATAGCACAGTTGTAAAGTGGTTAAAGAAGTCCTATATTTTCTGACAGCAATAGGGCAGTTTGATTTTCTGATGTCATATTACCACAGTTTATGTGAGCAAGGACTCACAGAAGAGATGATATCTGAAAACCTTCAGAAGTTGTTAATTGTGCAATATTGTACAGCATCTGTTCATTTTGTATTACGCACATTTCATTATTTTATTTATTCTTGACTAGTCTGGAGACCAGATTTTTGAGGTATATAAATGATAAAAGCAAAGCTAATCTTCAACAGACATACAGTATGAGCAGCCTTCAAAGTGAACCTGTAACAACCCTGTGTATTTCAAATAATATGATGATATTTTCTTTTTAGTGAAAATGGCATATCAAAACAATCATTTTTTGTTTCACTTCCTTTATTTTTAATTTGAACTTGGCCTTGACCCCTCCTGTACCCTAATAGGTGTCATTACTGACTGATAGGAAGTTGCATAATGGGGGGAGCACAATATTTACAGCGAAAAAATCTAGATATCATATATTTTAAAGTGTTGCTAAACCCAGGACCCTGCATTCACTATATCTGGTCTTCCACAGTACATACAACATGGAAATGCAATTATTTTAGTAAATATAAACTGCTAAATACCTTTTCTCATCAGCAGTTACAGCAATCTTGTGACCGATTGTCAATCGAATGCAAGGTGGGTCTCTCAGTTCCCCATCAAGCTCTGCCCTCCCCAATGCAAAATGCATTGGCCATGCACCTGTCTGTGTAATGGTTGCAGTAACCAGGGAGGAAGATCAGTAATGCTGAATTGCACTGAATATGAAATGTGCGATATGGACACTCCAGCCTCAGTGTCACTGCTCCTGACAAGTATATGAATCTGTCCCAAACACTAACAATTTCAGTGTGAAGGAGTTCTAGAGTGTCTGTGACACTTTTATGAATTCCATGCATTGAGGGAGAGATACAGTGGTGCTGGACCAGTATACCAATGCAGTTTCCAAGAGAGTAACAGTGTAGATACAGCCATATTAGTCAGAGGAAAAGGAAGTCCTGGACCCATTCACTTTGGATATCCTAGCTTTGTATCCTGGCACAATTCACTTTGTGTATGCTAGCTTAGTACAGTATCTCTGCTATATACAGTACAAACCAGTGCTGAAGTATTTCAACAGTGATGTTAAATATACAAATGTAAACAAAAGTGTAAAAACTGCGCTGAATGCGTAAAAATAAAATCAAATATGTATAAATACACACATAAATGGATAACTACCACAGTGCTGCTACTTCAAAAATATCAAACAAAACTGTGTTCATTTATGAGTGATGTTAAATAGCCCATACAATGTTGTGTGTTTTTTTTGTATAAAGGTCTTAAACTATTCAAATCCCGGGATTCACATTATATTAGTAGCATAATTAATGTATTTAGTCTTCACTAAATATCATGGCTCCTAAATTAGCTTGACATCTATTTGGTAAGCAGTTGTAGATATTGGGTGTGCTACACCTGCCCCAAATAACCTTATAGTGCTCCAGCAGTCTAATACCCGTGAATTCCCTAGCTGGCTTCTTTTGGGTGCCGGTCTTCAGCTATCTTGATTGGCTGGCGTGGGATGACATCATGCTAGAAAAGTACATTCTCCAGAGGATTGTGAACAGGCAGGCAAGTTTATTGTATTGTAGAACAGACAGTGCATGTATCTTCTTCAATAAAGAGCCTGCCTGCAATTATTTTTTTGGTTTTAGTTCCTCTTAATCTAAATACAAAGGGCATGTGTAATATGGCCTGTCCTTCTGACCCACTGTCACTCAAAGGATTCTAGCAACCAGTGACAGATTGGGGAGTAGGGAGTGGCATAAGCAAAGATGTATACACACTGCAGCCCCAGTCTGCCCCATCTCTGTATGCGAACATAAGGGTAGGTCTTAATTGCTTTTAGTTTTATTATCTATAAACTCAAGGTAATATTTTCTGTCATTTGTTGCAGCTCTAGCAACTCATTATGAAAGTAGTGTGAATAAGACTGGAATCAGTTGCACATGTTGAAACTCCTAACATAACTGTCACAAGGCTTTCATGTAGTAGGCACATGACTTTCATTTAAAGGGATCATACCGCCATAAAAGTGTTGCAAATGCTTCACTGAATCATCCTCAATATAATTAAACATTGATCAGATGTGGGATAGCATTGTTTCTTGATATTTACACAGTTTTATTCAACTGCTGTTCAAAGGATATGATATCATTGTCAGTTAAAGTAACCTGACAGGTAAAAAAAAATTAAAAAAGGTTTATAAAGTGTGTTCCTATACAATCTCCTATTAACCCATAGTTTAGCCTAATCAGCCCCAATTAACTTTTTCTTCCCCTCGGCTATTATTTTTTTGCTGGAAAAAAAAGAAAAATGCTTGTATTACTTTATTTTCAATTAATGATAAAATGATTGCCCAATACACAGGCTCATTAATAGCAGAAAGGTAAAATTTGCTCTGGTCTGTAGGGGGTTTACAGGTGTAAGAACGGAAGTGGTTAAATATAATTTGGATGGGTATTTGTGCAATGTAAAAACTAACAGTAATCAATTTAATTCAATGCTGAGTCGTGACACAGGGTACGATGGTCTTCTGTTTTAAAATCATAACCAGTGTTCTTACAAACAAAACACATGCATGATTTTAAAATCAGTACTACTGCTTCCCCATCAACAAAGGGCTTTTTTCATACACCAGCTGTCTGTCCATGGATGCGGTTTCTGAACTGTAGCACCCAGATACTTCGGCCTTGTTCACAGGACACAGATCTTGTTCGCTCCACCTAAAATGAACCAAAGGCAAAGTTTTAACATTTTTTTCCCCCCCCGGTGAATTCAACCCTTTAAACCATTTGCTGCCACCACCAATGTAAACAATGCTTTCTTTGTAAACAATGCTTTCAATGTAAACTGACTGCTTTCTTGATTCAAGCTGCTATATGCTTGTGAAGGTGCCCTTGTGCTTGCCCACAACACCCCCCCAATATCCCCCCGGGGGGTACCTGTCCCTCCTCAGTACTCAACCTCCATGGAAGGTGTCAGATAGCAGAGCAGCTGAAGATCAGTGTTCATGAAATCATTGATCTTCCCTGGGTAGTATGAACCTGGAAGCACTCAGATCTGAGCACTTTCAAAATCCCAGCTTTCAAATCCCAGCCATTTTGTCCTGAGAATAAGCTGAATGGAGCACAGTCTCAGCTTCAACAGTGCAGAGGTGACATTATTATTATCTTATAGACCCTTGATGTTTCCTTCAAGAGAACCTATCACCTGCATTATTCTATGACAACAGGAGCTTCACCCTCTTGTCTTTGCTAAAGTTAAAAAAAAAAAAAAAAAAAAAAAAAAAAAGGAGAGAAAAGTTTTTATATGCAATATTGAGGTTTGACATATTTAGTATTCATTTACTCAACCTAACCTCACTGTTTATATTTTACCAAAAAAATAGGTATTATATTGTGTTTGTGTGCACAAAAATTAATTTCATTGTATTATTAACTGAAAATATAGAATCGATAAACAGTAGCACAGTTACCATTTGACATTTTATTCTTTAGGGTCTCTGTTTTGGATATTTTAAATAATTTTCATGCCTAAAATGTGCATTTCAACATATGTAAAAATCGGGTCAGGAAGTGTAAAGGTTGAAAGAAAATTCCATGTCATGGGGGGCGTGTCCAAGATGGCGTCGGGAGCAGATGTCCCTTTCTGAGCTCCGGCACCCTGAGCTCCCATCCACCGCCATCCTAAGTGCAGCGGCCATCCGCTGCGGATTCCCGGCTGCAGGGGACCCTGCCTGGCACCCGAAGAGGGGTGCTGTGACATTTTGCCCCTTCTCCGAGCGTTCGGGGGGGGCGGGACGGTCTGCGGCCTACTGTGGCGTGTGAAGCCGCGGTGTTTCCTGAATCCGCCGCTGGGGCGGATCGCCGCCGCGGGCGGATCGTCATACCGCCGTTTTGCCCATCCACTTCTGGAGTCAGGTCAGCTACTGGGGCCCCCCCCTGCTCCTGCTGGTGGCACCGTGGCCTGCATTCTGTCCCTGCAGGGTTCCTGTGAGACACTGGGAATCTGATTAACTGTGGGGTTGGTGCTGGTGGCCTGCAGAAGCTTTCACTATTAACCCCATTCCCAGGGGGACACATCAGGGGTACCATGGATATCTCTTGCCAGCCCCCTCAAAGCCTGCACACCTAGCTTGGTTGTTATATCCGTTTACATCCTACTGACTGCAGCGTTTGATGAATCTTCTGTGAACACCCCCCCCGGAGGGGGACACGTGCACAAGCCAGGAGGAATATGTCAAAGTGACCTCCATGTGACGTGCCACCGAAATATTTTTCTCGGCCATTGGGCTTTTACACCCTAGCATACTACTTCAATAGTTTGTCAGTGCTTTGGAATCCTGTGTACCACGCCTGGCGATGCACCGTACTCCCCGTACTAAGCTTAAGCCTCGGGCCCAACAGCAATCCCCTTCGCGGGGCCACACCGCTAAGCTGATTCCTAGCCCGCCTGAGCCTGACGACAACTCCCAGGTGACCTTGAGTCTGATGGCGATAGCCAGCAGCAATTTCAATCAGGGATGGTTGAATCTCTTGAACACAATCCCGAAGCCTTGCTACACAAATTCCGTGCTATAGTGCGAGAGGAGGTTACAGCTGCCTCACGTAAATTATCTTCTGATCTGGCGAGAGGCCTAAAGGAGTTGGGCCTTCGTGCCCATCAATTGGAGCAACGTATGGATCTGGCGACTACAGTCCTGGAGGGTCATGAGCAGGAAGTGCAGGATTTGCATGCTGAGCTGGATACTTTAAAAGATAAGCTGGAGGATGCAGAGAATAGGGCGCGCAGGGATAATCTCCGCATCCGCGGAATCCCCGAGGCAATTACCGATTTGCAGGGTACTGCTACTGCTTTTTTCCAGGAGGTGGCCCCTGGGATTCCTATGGAACGTCTAGAGTTTGACCGTATCCATAGAGCTCTAGCACCCAAGCCCACGGAGGGACCACCCAGAGACATTATTATTAAATTCCACTATTACCGCACTAAAGAATGTCTACTGCAGGCGGCTCGGAATCGTTTGGCTCTGGAGTTTCAGGGCCACTCTGTTCATCTGTTCGCAGATTTGTCCCCAGTTACGATTGCCAAACGATGTACCCTAAGACCCTATCTTCAAATTCTTCAATCGGCTGATATCAAGTACAGATGGGGTTTCCCTTTCAAGCTCTCATTCTCCTCGCAGGGGCGTCAATTCCAGGCTCTTCGCCAGCGGATCTTCGACGTCACTTTCGTGAGCTTAACCTGGAACTGCCACAATCTGAGCGAGGAGGCCTCAGTCCCTGCGCGCCTTCGGAATTCCCAGTCTCTGCATAAATCTCCTCCCAGTCAAAGTGGTTCCCAGGCTCTCTGATCCCTACAAGTCCAGCGTTTTCAGGAAGTCTCCGCGACTTGATGTTTAGAGGATGGCCGCCAATATATAGTTCCACCATGCGTGGATTTCTTATTTTTTGCTGCCAATTTCTAGAATAGACTCTGGATCTGTTGAGGGATTCCAAACCTTTGCGTTTTTTTTTTTTTACCCAGATTGGTTGAGACCTCCAGAGCCCTGCGAGCTCTGGATTACTGGTTTATAGGTGTATTAGCCTAAATTGTTTGTTTAATATTTCTAGAATTTATATTACTGCCGAGTTGTTCCGGTGGACGGTCGTGTCCCCCTCCGTGCTGGTTAGCGGTCTGGTTTTTTTTTTTTGTCCCGCCCGCTACCTAGCCTCTATGTGGGTATTTTACCCACAGCTGACTGTTATATTGTTTGAATTAACCTTAATGCTTCTCAGATATCTTGCACGTATATCAGATGTCTTCTTGTCCGTTTCTTCCTTCTTTACTCCCTTTTTCTTGTCTTTTGTCATGTGTGTTTTTTGTCAATTTTTTTTTTAGGGCTCCCGGGGATCGCGGTGGACTAAATCTTCCTTTTTTTAGGTCTCCATGTCGCTGAACTGGCTATCCTTGACTGTCCAGGGGATGAATTCTCCGGGTAAAAAGTATTTAAATTTCTCCGGGCTCGTCAAGTTGATATTGCTTGTTTACAAGAAACCCATTTCTCTACTACTTCTGCCCCAAAATATTTTGATGCACGTTACCCTCAGATATTTCAGGCCATGGGCCCCACTAAACAGAGAGGCGTATTGGTCGCCTTCCATAGTAAAACTCCGTTCGTCTGTGTGAAGTGTATTGCTGATCCCAATGGTAGATATCTTTTGCTCCAGGGCACGGTCCATGGCATAGACGTTACCATAGTGTCCTATTACGCTCCCCAACGTTAATCCTGGACCTTTTCTGTCACACCTATGTTCTCTCCTGGCTACACATCAGCGGGGTACGCTTTTGATGGCAGGGGATTCAAATTTAGTGCTAAACCCCGCAGTAGATAAATATCCAGTGGAGCGTTCTGGCCCTTCTACATCGGCAAAGTCTTTTGTACGTGCGTTAACTACCCATGATCTGGTAGACTTATGGCATGAATTTCATCCTCAGGGGAAAGACTACACTTATTATTCACACCCTCATCATTATCATTCCAGAATTGATCATGCCTTTGTTTCGCATAAACACCTCCCTTTAGTTCGCGCTATTTCTATTCTAACGGTTCCATGGTCGGATCATGAACCTATTTTGGTGCTCTGCCGTTCTCTCCTAAGTAGGCCAGCCTTCTCTTCCTGGATAATGAATGATTCTCTGCTTTCACTGAGGGAGGTTCAGGAGGAACTACATCGTAAGGCTCAGGAATATTTCCAATTAAATTCCGGTTCTGTCTCTTCTTCAGTAACATTATGGGAAGCCTACAAGGCAGTTCTTAGAGGACATATTATCCAAATAGCCTCCAGACGAAAGAAAGCAAGACAGCTTAAACAGTGTCAGTTGGAATCGAAGTTAGCTTCTGCGTCGGCCCAATTTAAACAGTCACCTTCCCCGTCGAACCGTAGGCTGTTGGATCAGGCCCGCTTAGAGTTAGATGTTTGCCTAACGGATGAGGCTGAGCGCTCCTCCATACGTTGGACTCGCCAGAAATGGTATAGTAAAGCAAACAAACCGGACTCTATGTTAGCCCGTAGACTGCGCTCTTTTGAGCAGCACCCCAAACCAATATCGTTACGCACCCGTCACAACACCCTTACGAGCAAACCTGTAGCAGTTTTGAAGAGTTCCGGTATCGTTTAGCTAAACTTTATTCTGATCCTACTCGGGCTGATCCTCAGTCTATTTCTGACTTTTTATCTCATCTTCCCCTGCCTACTTTAACGTCGGCCCATAAGGACTTGATGGATCGTAATATTCAAGTATCTGAGGTTTTGCAATGCATAGCAGATCTAAAAACGGGTAAACGTCCATGTCCCGATGGATACACGGCACTATATTACAAGAAATTAGCTGATGTGCTTGCTCCTCACCTTGCAGCTATGTTTAACGCGGTGAAGGGAGGTTCAAATTTTTCCCCGGATTCTTTAACTGCTAATGTGGTTATGATCCCTAAACCAGATCGAGATCACTCTTCCTGGGCAAATTATAGGCCTATCTCTCTTATCAATATCGACATGAAGATTCTTACTAAGATTTTGGCTACTCGATTGAATTCCTTCCTTTCCCGTTTGATCAAAAAAGACCAAGTGGGATTTGTTCCCCACAGGCAGGCTGGAGATGCTATCAGAAGTATTTTACAATTGCAACAATTGGCCCACACTCGTAAACTTGATATGATGCTCTTATCTTTAGACATTAACAAGGCCTTTGACACTTTATCTTGGCCATATCTCCTATCGGTCCTCCATCGTTTTGGCTTTGGCCCTTCGTTCCTACGATGGATCTCTTCGCTATACACATCCCCTCAAGCGAAGCTTAAATATTATGGTTATAGTCGATTGCTAGAGGCACTAGGCAAGGCACTAGGCACTAGGCACTAGGCAAGGCTTTCTCCTTTACTTTTTATCCTGGCCCTGGAACCATTTGCTGAAGCCATTCGTATGCATCCTGATATTAAGGGGATTGAGGCCGCGGGCTCCCAACATAAATTGTCTTTGTTTGCAGATGACATATTATTGTCAATTTCGAACCCGGGGGTTACTTTGCCCAACTTGCTCGCGGTTCTTGATTCTTTTGCAACTCTTTCGGGTTTACATGTCAACCCTGCTAAATCAAGAGCTATGTCGGTCACCCTCCCACCATCACTCTTGTTGACTTTGAAACAAACGTTCCCTTTTCAATGGTTTTCCGCCTTACCATATCTAGGAATTAAGCTTACCCTGACATATGACGGACTGTATCAGGCTAACTTTCCCACTGTCTTTCATGAGCTGTCCGAGTTATTGTCATCTTGGTCTCATTTTCCGTTATCATGGTTCGGCAGAATTAATGCGATACGTATGACCTATCTTCCTAAACTATTATACCTATTTCGTGTTTTACCGGTTCCAGTACCTTCGCATATACTTCGTACTCATCAGCGAAAACTTCTATCTTTTATTTGGAGCTCTTCTCGACCCAGAATTAGCAAACATATCTTATTTGCGCGACGGAGTGTGGGTGGGTTATCTGTTCCAAATCTCCAGTCCTACTATTTGGCGGCTAACATTGCCCCTCTAGCCCATGTTCATGCATCTCACTACTTCCCCCTGTGGGCTGTTGTAGATATGATGGACTCTCACCCGATACCGCTCTCTTCCCTGCCATGGCTTCCTATCTCTCAACGTCCATCTACCCTTAGCCCGGCGCTGACGTTTTCATTACGTCTTTGGGATTCTATTAAATACTCTGCTGCCTCATTTCCCCTCACTTGCCATTGTTACGTCTATTCCGTAACCCATTATTTCCTCCGGGAAGGGATAATCCTAGACAGTTTGCCTGGTGGCAGACACATGGTTTTTATGATGTTCACTCACTTCTATCTCCCACTAGAATAATTACCTTCGAAACTTTACGCTCTTCTTATAACATCCCTTTGCGGGAACATTTTGGTTACCTTCAACTTCGTCACTTTATTAATACACTAATACGCGCGCTCCCGGGTCCTAACCGTCTGTCCCCCCCTTTGAAAGCCAGTGTAGACATAGACCTCATGCCCCGGGTTTGATCTCCTTGATTTACTCCGCTATTATATCTTCTAGAATCCCTCCGGTTCGCTCCTATCACCAGCGCTGGCAGTCTGAATTAGGGGGGTCCTTGGATCAACAGGATTGGCAGACCATGACCCAAGCAATATCCAAATGTTCCAGGAATGTCATTCTTGAGAATGCTTACAAAATTCTTTACCGATGGTACTATACGCCTGCTCGTCTAGCTAGTTTTATCCCTTCATATTCTCCGGTCTGTTTTCGGGGATGCCAACAATTGGGCACTATGGCCCACATCTGGTGGACTTGCCCTAAAGTAAGCCGACTATGGATTAGGGTGTATGCCCTTCTTCGCACTATGTTTCACACGGACATTAAGCGTAACCCATATGAAGCGCTTCTATTTAAACCACTGGAGGGTCTCCTCCGTTCTGAGCGGCAGCTGGCGTCACACTTATTTATGGCAACTAAATTGACAATTGCGAGAGCTTGGAAAACTCCTCTCCTTAGTTTTGAGGCAGTCAAAAATCGGATGAACTTCATAATGGTTAATGAAAAACTGACGGCCATATTGTTGGATACCCATAAAAAATTTCTGCAGATTTGGCGTCCCTGGTTGGATATAGCTCAACCTTCAAGATTTGATCAGTCCCTTCTGTCGATATAAGAATGGATTCTGCTGTGATCGCCCCGGAGCCCTCCTTCCTTTTTTTTTTTTTTTTTTTGATGTTGTTGTCCGTGTCTTTCCACTGTTTGTCCTCTTTTATCCTTCTGTCCAATCTGTCTTTAAACATATTTTACGGTTTGTGTTTGCTGTTTTCTGGGTTACATCTGCAATACTATCTTTGCAACCTAGATCTCTTTATGAATCCAAGGTTTAGAACATGTATCATTCTTTGGAGGGGTCTTTTTCTGTGCCTCTCATGTTTTCTATAATGTTGATGCTGTAAAACAATTTCTTATAGAGTCTTTATTGTCGGTGAACTACAACGGTTTGCTTATTGTTCCCTTCCCATTCCCTTCCCACATCCTTTTCTAAAAGACTCTTATGTAAACATTTCAGTTTATGCACCTATCAATGTATACCTTGAAAAGGCTTCACTTGCCCAGTACAGTTTATATTTGTTGGTCATTGAACTTGTATTTCGAATGTCTGTTTTTTCTTTGCTTAACCCTCAATAAAACTCTTTGTAAAAGAAAATTCCATGTCATTAGAGAAATATGGAGGATTTCATTGCTGACCTGAAAGCTGCCTAGCTATCACATGGACCATTTTGCTTAAAGGATAAGTTCACCTTAAAAAATTAAATTTTTTTTAGGAGCTTGAAAAGCATTACATCAGCAATCCGCAGATAGCTGGTGCCACGCAGACCTCCTGCAGACCTGTCAGTGTATCTGTGTGCTCATACATTGTATAGGCAGTTAGTTTCACGCTTACAGGAAGAATAAATGAACTACCACAGCGCTCAACAGCGTTGTGGTAGTTCTTTGAGAACTACAAATGGACAGCTGCAAGGGATGTTGGTACCTGTAGTTCATTTTTTCACAGAATACAAGTACAGGGAACTTCTCCCTGTGCTGCTGTCACACCAGCTGCTCAGAACTCTAAGTGGCTGCAGGAGTGAGAACATGTTACATGTTCTCGAAGGTCAACTTATCCTTTAAATACTTTGAGTCACTGACCTGGAACAACGAAGGTTGTCTGATTTGTCTCAAAAGCTGGCTATATACAGTTTTTTTTTTCCCTTTCAGCCAACAGATCCTCCATTCACACAAATGAGCTGGATGAAGGAATTTCCCCACCAGGAAACTGCTGTATTTTGACAATGGCGCCCATTGCAATCAGAATACACTGGTCAGTGCAGCAGCTCATTGGCTGCAGCCACTAATCGAGAAAGCATTTCCAGCATGTCCCTTTGACAGAAGTCGATCAAACAATCGACTTCTGTTGAATGTGGACAAGGACACACTGATTGAAATTTGGCAACTGCCTGCTGAAGTGGCAGAATTTCGATTTGTTTATGGCCAGTTTTATTATCCTGCCTACTTGTTCCTGGACATTGACTGATAGTATTGAAACCAATGGATCAGTATAACAGCCAGGCAATCAGCATTTTTAGAAGAGGGTAAGTAGAGGCAGCCCCCATATTTCTCTCATGACAGGTTTCATTTAAATGTGGTAAGTACTTACCTTTGAGCACAATATATGGAAGTGTCTGTGGCTCCAGCCCAGGCTGCATGTTCTACTAAGAGAGAACCTAGAAGGACAAAGTACAGTGAGATAAAAAAAAATCTACATGGGGAAAAAAAGAGCCACATGAAAACAGTCTATATAATGTGCTATTGCAAACTCTAAGTCATCCTGATATGAGCTAGGGCCTAATTCAAAGAATTGGAAGCCATGCCTATTACAATTTAACCAAATAAATATACATATAACAGTTGTTTTTTTTAAAAATGTTAAATTTTTTTTTAATCAATTTTAAGAAAACATACAAAATAGAAAAAAAACTCACTCAAAAAGAGCACCAGCAAACAATGAAATACACCAAAGGCTATGACAGCAGACAGCGCTTATGCAAATCTGTAGGGAATTTATCGATTTTCACCCTAAAATACCAAATCTAAATTTTTCAATTAGCACTGAAGAAAGTTATATTATCTCCTTTTTTGCTCTGTGACATTGTTTTACAAATTACATTTAATGGGAATAAGACTGGGAGTGTATCTGGCCTCTAGTTGCTGCTCCTCCCCTCTCCAAGCCACTGCACTCTACCACTGAAGCGGAGTGTGGGAGCTTGCACACAGTAGTCAGCTTCATCTATTTCCAAACCAAATCAAAATAGGAGAGCGCACTGAAGGGGAATGTCTCATCATCCGCTAACAGGTAGCACAGCCAGACACTTGGGCAGCATTTCAGAGAGTGAAGTGGGTGAAGGCTCACCTCCTGACTCCCTGCTTTCTTGAAAAAGTGATTCAAGCTTCTACATGCTCTGGAAGGTGTCCCCCTGCCCGACTGCCACCCTGCCATGTGTCCTGTGGGAACCTGTCCCTCCTCAGTACTCAGCCTCCATGGAGGGTGTCAGAATGTCAGACCCACTCAATGTGCGTCCTCAACCTGCAGCATCAAGCATCCTCGATCCACCAGAGGTTTGACAAAGGAGCGACTAAGAAAGCTCCGAAATGAGTTACCGTCCGTTCCTGTGTGACATCATTTCCTGTTTGCACTTTCACACTGGTCCCTGAAAAGACCAGGCGGCCATCTTGCTGGCTATTGCATCCCTATGCTGCTTGGCCAGCTTGTTGGATCGGGAACACTTGGTGCTACTGCAGGCTGTGGACGCACACTGAGCGGGTCACCCCGCTGATGAGCCTTCACCCACAGAAACTTTGCTACTACACTTAGAGGCACCTTCCCTCTTTGTTGACTTTCTAAACCACAAGTGCTCAGTAATGTTAAGCTGGGTATACATTTGTAGAATTTCATTCCACATTTTTCATTGTAAGGCTGTGGTAAGAATGTTAGTTCCTTTTTCCTCCCACCGGCTGCTGCTGGGCACAGGAGAATCAGTTTCAGGATGGAGAGCCGGGGGGTAGGGTACATGCAGGAGAAATCCACCTTAAACAAAGTTGTCTTTGGAGAGCTAGAGCTGTTTAACTCTCCAAATATAACCTGTTAACAATAAGATCTCCCATGATGCTTTTCCATGCCTGAGGGGGACTCTACATGTTTGCTTATCTCGCTTTGTTAATAATAATATGATTAGATGATGACTACGTCAATGGTGGCAAATATCTTCTGTGCAGCAATCCCTTTAATTATTATTTACCAACTCCTTTCTTACCTGAATGAACACAGTACAGCTCCTGTGTTCATTCATAACTGAAGCATAGTAAACTGTGCTTACTATGATTCAGTTTATGAATGAAGAGGAAACCTCTACAGAGAGCTTCCAGTTCATTCATCTTCAGTGCAGTCTAGAATATAGAAATGGAATCCCTTTCTCGGTCTCTAACATTAGTCATTAGGGGTCTGTTTAGACTCCTGATATTTTACCAAAATTGTCCCCAACAGGGCTGTTAAACAATGTAAAAAAATAAACTTTGTAAATTATTTTAAAAAAATAATATAATTAAGGGCACATTAACACTTGCGTTGCGCACTGAAAAGCAATCTGCGGTTGGATCGCTCTTCAGAGAGCACTTGACAGCTGAAGATGCGTTGTATTGCCTCACCACCTGCTTTAACCCCTTAAACCCTGCACTTGTGCATTGTAACCAAATGCAAAGCACCTGAATGGGTCATGTTCAGTGGGTGCTAAAACCAGTTGAAAAGGACAGGGCATAGTTCCTACCATGGCATGTTACACCTCTAGCTGCATGGGAGTAGCGGCTGGGGGCCGGTAAAAGTGCAGCTCAACCACTGCACCCTTCCAAACTCACAAATGACCAAGCCCTAAGGACTCATTTACACAAGTACTCTGTTCATGTGAATGAGTTGTTCAAACACACGTGTGGAGCCGCCTGTTACTTTATGGGGATGCAGAAGCTGTACAAAACACAACCGCAGGTCCTAATTTGACAGTTGTGCAGGTGTGGCCCTGAATGCACACTGTTTGTTTGCAGCCGAACACCCGTACCCACAAGCTTGTCAAATTAGGACCTGTGGCTGTGTTCGTACAACAACTGCACCCCCCTAGTGTAACATAGGGCTGCCTGCACACAGCTCCAGCTACATAAAAAAAAGCTGATTCACACTGTACAAGCCACAGCACCTATGTGAATGAGCCCCAATAACACATTCACACACAGAGATTAATACAGATTTATCTTTTAGATTTAGCAGAAATTTTGTAAGTTATGTCGTGTTTCTGTCTACTAAGAATGATTTTAGTGTATTTTTAGAAACAATATAATTGTTTAGATATTTCCTGGGGGGGGGGGGGGGGGGGGGGGACGACCCTGTGATTTAGAACAACAGCCCTGCCATTAATAGGTGCTGCAGTACAAAAGTCAGAACGAAGAAGAAATACATCCTCACCCTAAAAGTCCTTTCTGGAACTAGCAAAACACTTTGCAATATGTCACTGTGCCCATCTCTGCTATCTGATAAGCTTGCCTTTCCAGGTACATGCAGGAGAAATCCACCTTAAACAAAGTTGTCTTTGGAAAGCTAGAGCTGTTTAACTCTCCAAATATAACCTGTTAACAAGAAGATCTCCCATGATGCTTTTCCATGCCTGAGGGGGACTCTACATGTTTGCTTATCTCGCTTTGTTAATAATAATATGATTAGATGATGACTACGTCAATGGTGGCAAATATCTTCTGTGCAGCAATCCCTTTGAACCATTCTATTTATGCCTTTTGTTTTACTGTATATAATGTTTCCACCCAAACAACCCCCTGAGCGTCAGGTAACCTGTCAGGGATTGGCAGACCTGTCTACATGTCATTTCCCTGACCATATTCATATAACTTTCCCTCTGTATAACAATGCATGAAGTGCACACTATGGGGAAATACATCAAAGTGATTTGAAGCATTTATATCATAAGTGTGCTATGGACTTTATATTTAATAACAGTACAAATTGAAGGATGTGGATTGTCAAAAAGCAATGAGTGGACAATAAGTAAGGGGTACATTTTAAGGTAAGGTGTTTATTTTAAAACATGTAATTATCCAATATTTAAGATGGTTGTCATAATTTAAGGAAGTGATGATGCAGTGAGTTTACCATACACACGTGATTATTGAAGAGCATATTTTAGATGTTCTCTGTGTCCTTACATATAAGAAGTCACATGTACAGTTGGCTGTGATCATTTACAGTTTAGATGCTCCAATATACCTCAGCTGGGTCATCCCATTTTTATAGCCTTAAAGTGGAATTAAAGCAAAACTTTTCTTTTTGCAAATTAGTAAGGGAGTCAGTTTTTTGGCCATCTGTGTCTCATTTGGGAAGTTTCCCTTCACTTCCTGTCCCATAGCCAAAGAGTGAAGTGAGAGGAAATCCCTGGTGTCCTCATTGGAAGATTTCCCTCTTTTCCTGTTTTAGTGACATCCAAAAATTTGTGATTTTATTTCACTGAAGGTGATAATTGCTAAGCAGGGCATACGGTGTGTGTGTGTATGTATGTATGTATGTATGTATGTATATATGTATGTATGTATGTATGTATGTATGTATGTATGTATGTATGTATGTATGTATATATATATATATATATATATATATATATAGTAAATTTCCCTAATAGGGAAAAAGATATCAGTTAAAACCTGACAGTTGTAATTCCTAGCCCCTCTATCAACTCTAAAAAAGATTTGCCTTTATGCTTTGATTTATAACACAGGGCTGGCCTGTACACTAACTACCCTGGACACAGAGTAGCTGTGTAACTAATGCAATAAATACCAATGAAGATCTTGGCTAGACTGTAGGCAAAATCCCGTGCAGCCAATTCCATAAAGTTGCTTCCTTTTGTTCCTGCTGATTGAGTAAAGTCTTTCAGATGCTGCAGAGCTTGCAATAACCTTGCAGTAGGCTGTGACAGTTCGGGTACATTAGATGAGGCTTCTAGATTCTCCTGTGCAACAAATACAAGTTCAGTTTGTTTAGATCATTCATATACAAGCAATGCTTCTATGAGGACTATATAATATTTATTTTCATTTTGGATTAACCACTTGCCCTCCTGAGGATTTACCCCCCTTCCTGACCAGGCCATTTTTTGCATTACGGCGCTGCGTTACTTTAACTGACAATTGCGCGGTCATGCAACACTGCACCCAAATGAAATTTACGGGGTTTTCTTTCCCATGAATTGAGCTCTCTTTCGGTGGTATTTAATCGCCTGTGCGATTTTAATTTTTTTTATTTTTTGCGCTATAAAAAAAAAAAAAAGACCAACAATTTTGAGAAAAACAATATTTTTTACTTTTTGCATTTAAACATAACCAGTAAAAAAAAAATTGAAAAAAATCAAATTTCGTCATAAATTTAGGCCAAACTGTATTCTGCTACATGTCTTTGCCAAAAAAAAAAATCCAAATACATGTAAATTAAAGTTATATCGTTTACAAATGGCAGTATAGATACCGGAATTTTTTATTTTATTTTTTTTTTTACTAATAATGGCGGCGATCAGTGACTTATAGCGGCGTGCATTCTGATACTGGGGGGAACTGACTTGGTGTCACTAACATCCCCAGTGACACCAATACAGTGATTAGTACTAAAAAAAAGCACTGACACTGTACTAATGGCACCGGGCAGGTTAATATGAGGGGCAATCAAAGGGTTAACTATGTGTAGGGTGTGTTTTACTAAGGGGCAGTGTGTGTGGCAGTGTGTGTGTGTGTGCGCACGCTTCACTGTAAGCACACTGCTCTGGATGGCTGTGCTGTGCACAGGAATCCAGTGCAGTGTGCCCAAGCCAACAGGGAGGAAGTAAACAAAGCAGTCATCCTTCTCGTGGGAGATGCGCGGTAAGCACCGATAGAGCGCGTGCCCCCTACCCAGAAATGCGAAATCAGGTATATATACACGTGATTTTGCGTACCCCTGCCGCCCTGTAGCAGTATATCTGCTATAGGGCGGCGGGGAAGCGGTTAACTAAACTGTACTAATTATTTTGTTTTTGCACTTTTGCAAGTGGTACAGTAACAATACAATCTTATTATTAGTACTGAAACTATTATAATTCGATTATGAAAATAGTTGTCAAGTATTTTCATAATCGATTAGTTGCTCAGCCAATTAGTTGGCCTGCATACAGAATGCATTATTTGTTTACATATCAGAAAATACAGTGCAGCACACATACAGCTCAGTACACCATTCATATATGTCAGTAAGTGCCTGAGAACTTGTGACCATGTGAGGACCAGTGCCATGTGGGATATGTAGTCCAGAGCAGGAGAAGAAAGTGAGCGATTCTAAAGATGGAAGTTTTTTTAACCTTGCAAAGGGGCAATATATTTTATACTTTGCGGTTTGCGATAGGGGCACTCTGAAGGCAGGAGGAGCTAGAAGCGCCAGTGGTGGACACCCAGAAGAGGTGAATCAGGGCTCCTCTGTGCAAACCCATTACACAGAGCAGCTAAGTACAACATGTTTGTAGTTTTAAAAAACAATCCATGATTTACAATCAGAGCTCTGTGAAGGGCAGATCAGCGTCCGAACCCAGAAAAACTGGAGGGTAATAGGCTGGAGGTTTTATATATAAGTTATATATTATTTCTTTCACTGTTTCACAATATAAATGAACCTTTTACAGTAGTGCTTATCTTTTTAATATATGTCACTATAAAAGAGCTAAACCATACTGCTGCTACTAAATGTCTTATGCTAGACATACACGTATCAATTTTCAGATAAGAATATTCGTACAAAAATTCTTTGTACATTTGAAGAATGGTGTTCGAAAATATCACTTGCTTTTAACATTGAATTTGAAAATGAATTTATTCTTCGAACAAAAACCTACACACGCTGTCCAAAATTTGTTCAATTAAAAAAAGTTTCTGCTCCTTCGAATTTTCCCATCACTGTGGTCTAAAATGAACATCAAATTTTTTTTTTTTTTTTGTAATGAACATAGAATTGACTTCACTAACTATTAGACAATCGAAAGAACGTTCTTAAAACAAACCGTTTTGAAGGAAAAATTTGTTCGTGTATGGTCAGCATAAGAGACAGCAGGTACAGGTTGTTTGTATCAAGCTACCTACCTATGACAAGGGAGTCCTGTCATGCATGATATATATTACAGTCCTGTCTGAAAATTTGCAAAACAGTGTTTTAGGTCATTTTACATTTGTTTTTTTATTTAAATAAAATTTTGATCTATGAGTCTGATAAGTACCAGATTCAACCTCTAATAGTGTACATAATGTATATCTCTTCTGTCTGTTATTCTGATGAGATATCTTGTTTCCCAACCATAACCAGCTGGTTATTTATATTTACCATGGCATATAGATATTCAAGAATAAATTGTCTTTTTTAAACTTTACATATTAAATAAATTACACATTAAAAAGTTTGCGGTTTTTTATGTGATTAATCGAAAATAATCTGCCAACTAATTGATAGTTGCCACCCTACATATTATGCAGATTTTTAGCAACCTGCAGCTGTGTGATTGCAATATAGCTTACCTGAACAGCTGAGAAGAAAGCACTAAGTACCTGACCCTGACTCTTGATTACTGACCGGAGAATATCTAATGATAGGATGTTAGTTGTCCCTTCCCAAATTGTCAACACCTGTAATGGGGTATGAGAAAAAGAATAAAAACATAACATAATAACATGTAATTTTTGCATATTGTATTGTTTTATATCTCTAGGAATGTCTTACCTGTGCATCTCTCAGCATAGCTGGTAAACCAGTGTCCTCCATGTAGCCCTGTCCTCCAAAACATTCAAGTCCCTCTGATACAACAGCAACAGCCTAGAATGTAAATATGTACGCATGAGAAGATATGCATGTCCCAAATTATGTAATGACTGATTGTCTACTTTTATACCTGTTTCCCAGTGTATAATTTGGCAATGGGAGTCAGCAGCCGGAGGAGATGTTGGTCCTGCTCTGTTGCCATGTTTGTTTCTTCCAATCCTAACAAGCGTGCAACTTCCATTAAGAGAAGAAATGCACCACGTGCCTCTACCTATAAGAAACAAGAATACCATTTTAATGTACTTTTATAGAGACACTGTACTTCTCACTGTAAAATCCTTTTCTTTTAGGGACACCTAAAAGTTTTTGCTGTTGAATTATACTACTGCCTACAGGATGAGTGGACACTGGCAAAAAAAACAAATGTAGGCCAAACCAAGATATCTCTCCTGTTTCCAAGCATGCATAAGAAGGGCGTGGATGGGGCTTGGGTCTCTCCATTGACATCAAGAAAAGCATTTTACAGTACAAAAATCCTCATCTCTTTCTCACCCATTGAGGGACACAGGAAGTCAGAATGTCCAAGACCAGCCCAACTAAGGGGTTAGCAGATAAGCAACAGCAAAACAAAATGCTAACAAGCCCACACAACCCCCCCAAAAAAAAAAACCCTTAAGCCTACCTGCAGCTCAATAAGCCACATATTGGCCCTTACACCCAAAGCTGGCATCAGATGAGACCTGAATTACGTCCAAGTAAAGGAGGAAAACCATCTTTGGATGAACTAGAGCCAGACACAGGGTCAGAAGAATAACCTGGTTAAGACAGAAGGCCAAAAAACCTTAGAAAGAATGGAAGTTCTGGGCATCAACACCAGCTTGTCCTTGTGCAAGTCCAGATATAGTTCTTTACAAAGTAAGGCCTCCCAGTTCAGATATTCACTTTGCAACGTTAATGACAACAAAAAAAGCCACTTACCAAGTAAAGTATGATGTTGACATTTGGTGACAGACTTTATGAGACGTAGACTTCCTAGCTTTCAGCATCATGAAGAAAAAACAATTCAGTTATGCCTCTGCCCTTGCCAGTGATCGTGAAGCAGGGTGGTAAGCCTATCACTGAGACAGGAAATCTAGACAATCTGGAAGTGTCTATGAAGCTTCCATCAGGAGTTATATCAGGTGGAACTGCCACATTTGCTTGTACCAAAACAAAACTATGAGGATTACTGAAATGGCCTCCATCTTAATCCTGCAAAGCAGACAAGGAAGGAACCAAGGCTGGAATGTGAATTTCTGCCTAGGACAGGATCTACTCTACCTCTTTTGCAATATGGTTGATGTATCCCACTGCCATGGTGTTGTTTGAGAAAATCCTGGATTGGATGACCCCCTAGCTGTGAGGTTCAACATCGCAGGGACAACCAAACTGTATAAAGTTCCAGAATGGCACATACAATATGCAGAAGATGCAGAAGAGAGTCACATAATTCCTGGACTGACAAGTATGAATCTAGGAGCAGAGAATCAGATTTTTCATGGAGAAGAAAAACTCTGGCTTGAGTTGTGTTGAGGATATTGTTCTCAAAGCGGGGGGGAAGTGATGTGTTAATAATGACTTCAGAACAGTACATCGAATGGTAATATAAATCGAATGGTAATGACAATACTAGGTGGTATAAGAAACTCTCTGATGTAATGGTTGCTCAATTCCAGAGGGAATTACTTGAAATGATTGGTGGAGATCTTATGGGAAGAATTATTGATGGGCAGAAGGCTGATTTTTTAAAGTTAAATTTACAAAAAGACCTGTATTATATGACCTGCCCAAAGTTCATAAGAATGAACTTCACAAGGGTCACAAGGACCCCCTAGGAACACCTATCAATATGGGAATGCATCTTTGATGGCTAACAGTATATACAGTACATAGACTCCTTTTTGAGGTAGCATGGGGAGGCATTGCCATCTTATGTAACGGATATCTCTCACCTTATTTCTTTAATCAAGGAAATCTCCCAAATACTATGTTACATGTTGGTTTAGATGTGAAGGCCTTCTTCAAAAGTACAATGTGTTTCTTTTTAATGGGTTGCACTACTTCCAGATACAGGGGACTTCGATGGGCACAACTTCTGTGCCCTTGCATGCATACCTGGGATGGGTAAAGGAAATCTGGTCTATGATCGATGTACCTGTACTATATTCTTACTTCGCACGGGTATACGGATATTTTTCAACATCCTTTGTACTGGTGATGATGGGTTTGTTAAGGGAATTTGTTGGCATACCTAACATATATAATTTATTATGTACATTGGAAGTACCAGACAACTCCTTTTGGAATTGAAAATTTGTAAGGACGAATGTGGTAAGCTGTGTATATATCCCTATACTGTAAGACAGCAGGTAATACAATACTGCAAGCATGAAGTGGTCATCCTAGATCCTTCAAGTGTATTCCTCATGGAAATTACATTAGAATACACAGGAATTGTAGTCGGGATGAGGTGTTTGAGGAGGCGGCAAAAGAGGTAAGGAACGACTACGATAGTGTGGCTATAAGAATAGAGTTCTTTGTGAGGCTTATAAGAGAACAAAGTTGAATGAGCAACCAGTGGTCCCGAGGAGGCAGACACAAGGGGATGCAGTCAGACTGATAATGACCTATTGAAATCAAAATGACGTCATTGCATGGGTATTGCAGAAACATTGTAATACACTTGATGAGGATAAGAGACTTTCCAAATGTATTACTACAGGATCACAGATTGTATATAAAGGGGCAAGATCATTAATAGATAGATTGGTATCAAGGGAATATGATAGTCACAAGAATAAAATATATTTTAAATATAAAGGAACTTATAGACATAAGAAATGTGCACTTTGCAAGTTTCTCTCAACATATGCATCGGTAACTACTCCTTTGGGATACACTTTAAAAAATAAGCACTTTGCCAATTAAGAAATGGATGGAAAGCGAGAAATTTGATTGCTTCTGTGTTCCAAATAACAGGTTAATTCTCGGTGCTCAGCCCAGATAGTCCACTTACAAAGAGAGAGAGTCTTTAGACACAGGGCAAGTGCTGAGGCAATGCCACAGCTCTTGACCTCAAAATGTCCCTGCAGCATTTACCAGTCCTTGATGTCTGCCAAAAGTGCCAGAAGCAGAGCCCAGTGCCCAAGGGTCGCATTCCAAACTAGCCTCACAACATCCCATCCAGCAGAGTCTGGGTACAGCACTCCATAGCTAGTATAGCTAGGATGAGCTTCCATGTACAGTCCAGCTTAAGCAGCGATGTAGTGAGTAATTTTGATTAAAGAAACCCAAAGAAAAAAAATCTTGTGGAAACATTGTTTCCCATCAGAGCTTAAAGCATATTTCCACTTTTGCAGCCAGATTGAGATAACACCTATTTTATATCTGTTACATGTTCTCATTCACATAGCATACCTTAAAAAACATTTTAAAATTGCAGCTTATCTTTCTTAGATGTTCTGTTCTGGAAATTACAGTACTGTAATATTTTACTAGTTTTCTTTGTTTATGTGAGGGCTGGGACAGCTGTGTTTGCCATAATTAACCCTGTCTGTACTGTGTGCAGTTAGAGTTTAATGATCAATTGTATACTAGATTTGAACACTGTCTGTTTAACAAATTGTTAAAGGTTACATAGCCAGGCTTTTTGCACTGTATGTTAATGAGAGGAGACAGCCTGTCCTTAGAACAGACTGACTTTGACATTGTTCAAAAATCCCTGAAGCCAGCCATCAGACTGTCTCCTGGGAAACATCTAAAAGGTAAGAAATATGTTTTAACAAATTGGTATAATGTGTGAATGGGAACACAAACATATAGTGGGGTTTTCTTAAATTTGATTGAAAAAACAGTAGTACACTTTAAGAAAAGATGTTCATCCTCCGAGGACACTAGCAAAAACTGAGGCATGCTGGGGTTATCCTGAGCTGACCTACACTTTTTTTTTGTCAGTGTCCAATCCTCCTGTAGGCAACAGTATGACTTAAAGAGAACTAGGAAAGCAGGCCAAACCATCCCTCTTTGTTCCCATAATAGTGGCTGTAAGGCCTGTGTAGAGTACATATAGTGATATCGCCACCCAATAATTTGAAAAGTGCTGGCCTTGACTTTGCAACACTACAAGTGAAATGGTACATGGCGTGTACATCAGTCAAAGGGATTTTGCTTAAAAAAGACAGCGTTCCAGTTGATACAAAGAAAAATACCAAAAATTAAAAAAAAAAAAATACAAAAAAAATAAATAAATAAAAACACATTTCTTAGTTTCTGTTGTACCATTTTGCAAATAAACAATCTTTCTTCATATATTTCTGCCAAAATGTATTCTGCTACATTTCTTTTGGTAAAAATAACCCAAATCACCAATGTATATTATTTGAAAATTGATCAATCCTGATGTACTGATGGGGCTCAGAAATGCCAGGACAAATACACCCAAAATGACCCCGTTTTGGAAAGTAGACAGTCCAGAGTATTTAGTAAGAGGCATAGTGTTTTTTGAAGCTGACATTTTTTGGAAAATTAAGAAATTAAATAAAATGTTTTTTTTCACAAAGTTGTCATTTAACCTCAAGCTTTGCAGATGTGGGCTAAAGTATCTGTACGTCAACCCGTGTCAATGGCTACTGTGCGGCTCATCATTGCCATACTTCTTACCAGTTTCCTGATCACTGTCATACCAGCATCTTGATCACCGCCATACCTGGACTGGAAGGGGATAAAAGTTACCGGACTTGAAGTGTTAACCTCATGCTAACTACCAGATCACCAGCATACCCCATACCAGTGTCCTGATCACTGCCATAAGGCATATCAGCGTCCATCATTTTTTTTCAAAATGTTCGGTATTTTTTCATTTATACAGCAAAAAATAAACCCCCGCGGTGATCAAATACCACCAAAAGAAAGCTCTAGCTGTCTTAAAAAAATGATACAAATTTAATATGGGTACAGTGTTCCTCAAACCCAATTGTCACTTAAAGTTAGTGCTGAAAGTGCTAAAGATAGTGCTGAAAGAGGAAAATAGGCCTGGACTGGAAGGGGATGAAAGTGTCCGGACTTGAAGTGGTTAACAAGTTATTTCTCACACAGAACATTGGTATACTTATTACACCTCAAAAAACATTATGCCTTCCAAGTATGGGGATACCACATGTGTGGGACTTTTTCACAGCCTAGATGCTTAGAGGGGACCAAAATACAAGGAGCACCTTTCAAAGAGCATAAATTACGCATCACATTTCCTGACTACCCAACACATTTTTGGAGGCCTTGGAGTACCAGGACAGTGGAATCACCTGCAAAATTACCCCAATTTGGAAAATATAGTGTGTCTTTTGAAAATTTAATTTTTCACCGCAAGCTTCTGGAAAATGTACTAAAGAAAATGAAAATGTATTTTTTTAATACAAAGTTGTCAATTAAGATATTTCCAACACATATCATAGGCCTACTTAGAATTACACCCCAAAACACATTCAGCTACGCCTGCCTAGTATGGCGATATCACTTGTGAGACTCTTTTTTTTTTTTTTTTTTTTTTACAGCCTAGTCATATAGAGGGGCCCAAAATCCAAAGAAACACCTTCCAGCGCACCAGGTGCATAATTCTTGGAGGTCCTAGAGCACCAGGACAGTAGAAAAACCCACAAAATTACCACGTTTTGGAGAGTGAACACCCCAAAGTATTTTTAAGAGGCATGGTGATTCTTTTGAAGACTTCATTTTATTGCCACAAGTTTTTTTTTCAAAAATGTGGAAAAAAAATTATTTTTTGCCACAAGTGTTTAGGAAGATGTGGAAAGAAAATGAAAATGAATATTTTTACACAAAGTTGACAATTTAATAAGATATATCTCACATGCAGCAAGGGCCGCTACTCTTCCCGAGTATGGCAATACCACATGTGAGACTTTTACTTTGTCTGGATTGATGATGTACCAGAGAATGTATCTTGTATGTCACATAAATCAACCAATTGTATGAAAACCAATGTACTCTAAAGATCACTTCTATAAAAGTGGTCAGGAAATACAGTGTAGTGTAGTGTAGTGTAGTGTAGTGTCACCTACAGCAGTCCCAGTTCCTATAAGCCAAACAATATTAATCAACCTTTTCCTCCACCTATCTATAAAAACTCCTACATGAAACAAGATAAATATTAAATACAAATAAATCCTAATCCAATAAATTCTATTCCAACCCCATCGCATAAATATTCCAAAAAATTACCAAATAAATACTAGATGATAAATCATAAAAAATACATCAAAATAAATAAATAATAAAATGTCCAAAAAATTTCAGGTCCAATCAATCAATAGTGCACAAAAAAATCTCTTAGTCCAGTGTGTTGAACTTCAATTCTCATATCAATCCTCGTGAACCTCAAAAAAACGAAAACTATAATAGTGTATTACCTTCTAAATAACTAATCCATATAAATACCTTAAACGTGTATAAATACAATATCAGTGCAAACAATGGACAAGTGAACCAAAAACAGATTCAACTGTGAAAAACACGTGAATCATGCAAAACAGTATTTTGTGTACACTCCAACAAAAAGTGAAATTGAAGTGCAATTCGTGTACACACACACACAAAAAAAAAAAAAAAATATATAAAATTAATCAAAATATATTAAATAAATAATAAATATTAAATAATGAACTCAATATCATCCGATAAATAAAAATAAGACAAATCAAATACATTGGTGAGCACTCCAATTCATACAGTGAACACTCCGTGACCACCTCCCAATAGTGAGACTAAATACAATTACCCTCATGAAGTAATCACAAGCTTATGTGGATATTCCTGGTCAATATAGTAACCACTTCCAAGCTTAAATTCACTTCAGTTGCCCATCTTCCATATTCCTTTTGAAGCAAAAGGGAGACTTATATAAAGGTATGTATTTTGAAGCAATGTAGAAATATTATTTCTGAATGTAGAAATATTATTATATATATATATATTTTTATTTTTTATTTTTTTTTTTCATGTACACGAGTTGCACTTTCATTTCACTTTTTGTTGGAGTGTATACAAAATACTGTTTTGCATGATTCATGTGTTTTTTCACTGTTGAATCTGTTTTTGGTGCACTTGTCCATTGTTTGCACTGATATTGTATTTATACACGTTTAAGGTATTTATATGGATTAGTTATTTAGAAGGTAATACACTATTATAGTTTTCGTTTTTTTTTGAGGTTCACGAGGATTGATATGAGAATTGGAAGTTCAACACAGTGGACTAAGAGATTTTTTGTGGACTATTATTATTATTATACAGTATTTATATAGCGCCAAAAAGTTTGCTCAGCGCTGTACAGAGTAGTGGGGGACAGTACATGAGACAATACAGTAACAAAACAGTATACGAGGGGTTCGAGGGCCCAGCTCTTTCGAGTCTACAATCTAGGAGACTATTGATTGATTGGACCTGAAATTTTTTTGGACATCTTATTATTTATTTTGATGTATTTTTTATGATTTATCATCTAGTATTTGGTAATTTTTTGGAATATTTATTCGATGGGGTTGGAATAGGATTTATTGGATTAGGATTTATTTGTATTTAATATTTATCTTATTTCATGTAGGAGTTTTTATAGATAGGTGGAGGAAAAGGTTGATTAATATTGTATTTACTTTCAAGGGTGAAAGAAGTGTCACTTTTCTTTAAGGGCCGATTATAGTGATTATTTCACTTAGGTGTGCCGAGGTATTGTTATTTACTTATTATAAGCCAAACAAGCCTATCTTACTGGGACATGACTGCCCCTAGGAATGCCAAATTCACTAGCCTGGTGTCTCACAGGAATATAGCCAGAGGGATGTGCAGATGGATCAGTTTAGGGCCGCAGGCAGAGACATGGTCAGCAAACAGACAAAGGATCAGTCCAGGCAGCAGGCAGAAATGTGGTCAATAAACAGGACAGGGTTAGTACAGGCAGAGGCAACACTGCACTGGTGTGATGGTTATCAGGGACAATATGACTGGTGTGGCAGCGAGCAGGGACACAGTAACTGGTGTGGTGATGATTAGGGATACAGTAACTGGTACGGCAGTGATCAGAGACAATATGACTGGTGCGATGGTGATTAGGGATACTAAGTGGCTGGCAGTGATTAGGGACACTGACTGATTTGATGGTCATTAGGGACACTGAGTGGGTCGCGGTGATTAGGGACACTGAGTGGGCGGCAGTGATAAGGGACACTGACTGGTTCAACGGTGATTAGGGACACTAAGTGGGGGCGGTGATCAGGGACACTGAGGAGGTGGCAGTGATTAGGGACACTGGTAGTGCACTGCGGTGATTAGAGACACTTTGAGTAAACGGCGGTGATTAGGGACAATGTGAGTGGATGGCAGTGATTAGGGACGCTGACTTGTGCAGCGGTGATTACCGTGGTGGTACCATGATTGGTGATTCGCTGTTTCCTGTGGAGGGTATGTCCTCATGGAACTAGAGATCATCTGCCCAGTTGTTTATGTACATTCGCCAGGCACAAAGTGGTTAAAAATATTCCCTCCCCTTTCCTCTTACTTGTCCTGTGTACCCTGTACAAAAATGATCTCTGTAATTACCTATTTTTAATCTGGTCCAGTCACATGATTGAGCAGTCCTGGCCCTCTTCAAAATTTTAGCAGTAATTATATATATACAAAAATAATAGCAAATACTTTACAAACCTATTGTTGCAACTCTATACTAAAAGAATATATTATGGGATAGCGGTTTCTAGTTTCATACCTCATGATATGCCCCTTTAATATGCAATATTTAATTTGACAAGTACAACATTCAATAGAACTCACCTCCATCCGTGCCATAGTCTGTATATGAAGTGGATGGTCCTTTATCAGCTTGCCAAACACAAATCGCTTTGATGCATATTCTCGTGCCAAGTTGATTATTCTAAATTTAAAGTATTTTTTAAAATTAATTTACAGATACAGTTTATAGATATACTGAATGTTATAGATCGATACCTTCTCATTGAAGCTGCTGAAAAAATGGCGTTATGAATCCGAGTGATGCTCAGCATACTGGAAATTGAAGCCACACCACGGCCTTCAGGAGAAATCTGAAGTTGCAAAACAAAAAACATCTCTAAATATAGGACTTTATATCTGTTATTTCAATCAGTCATCAACAGCTAAACAGTTCATACAACTGTCAGCCTTTTGAAAATGTTTAAGTTTAATCTCTCACAAGTACGGTAAGTTTATGATACTGAAGATCAGACAGACACACTGTTCGAATATCTCCTTCCACCACCAAAAATAGGGAAATTCACCTTAGTTAAGTTAATGAAGCAGTACAATGCTTTGGACAAGAAACCACTTTCTCAGATGAATTACTGCCTCATGGAAGGGATACATTCCTGAAACATTGTGCTGTTACATTCTCTACTCTTCAAATAAAGGGATCTCTTGATAAATAATAGAGTTCTGACTGGTGTTACTTTTACAGTAGATCAGGAAGATCAAACTATACACTTCACTGCTTCCTTCGCCCCTCTATGGCACCCACCACCTCCTCCTATTACTCCACTCTCCCACTGACCCAAATACCTCCACTAGTGGTTTCTCACGCTCCTGCACATCCCGCTCCCATGCCACCTTTCTCACCCTTCTCCTCCTCATAACCGCGGGGGACATCTCCCCGAATCCTGGCCCTCCACCACCTCCCTCACCCGCACAACATCCTCCCGCCTCCACGTCTCGCCGCAACCCCTGCAACTTAGTATCTGTCCCCCTGCTCCCTAAAATCTCCCCTCCGTTTTCATGTGCACTCCTGAACGCCCGATCGGTGTGCAACAAGCTTACTGCCATCCACGACCTCTTTGTTTCCCGCTCCCTCAACCTCCTAGCGATCACAGAAACCTGGATCCAGCCCACTGACTCTACCTCCCCTGCTGCACTCTCCTACGGAGGTCTCACCTGGACCCACTCACCCAGGCCCAACAGTCGTAAAGGTGGTGGGGTTGGTCTGCTCCTGTCACCGCAGAGCACCTTCCGAGTCCTCCCAAACCCCCCCTCCCTATCCTTCTCCTCCTTCGAGGTCCACTGCGTCTGACTATTCTCCCCAACCCCCCTGAAGATTGCTGTGATATACCGGCCTCCTGGATCCATACCCCGCTTCCTGGATGACTTCTCCTCCTGGCTACCCTTCTTCCTCTCCTCTGAGCTACCCACCATCATCCTTGGGGATTTCAACATCCCTGTCAACCTTGACAACCCGGACACATCCCGTCTCCTCCACTTAACCTCCTCCTTTACACTTGCACAGTGCATACAATCCACCACCCACTCTGACGGTAATATCCTTGATCTCGTCTTCTCCAACCGCTGCGCTCCCCACACAACCTCCTCACTAACACCCCCTTCCCTCTCTCTGACCACAACCTGATTACCTTCTCTATCTCCTCGTCCTCCAACGCCTACCCCTCCAAATGTCACACTACTACCAGCCGTAACCTCCGCAACCTTAACCCTGCCTCCCTCCACTCTGCAGCTGATCAACTCCACAATCGCATCCTCCCCCTGTCCTGCCCTGACTTGGCTATGACCGCCTACAACAACGCACTCTCAACAGCCCTTGACTCACTAGCGCCTTTAACCACACGCAACACCAGACCCCGACCGCTCCAGCCCTGGCAGACTGATCACACCAAAACCCTCAAACGACACAGTCGTGCCCTGGAGCGACTATGGCGCAAAACCAAATCCCAACAAGCCTTCACCCGCTACAAATCTGCCTTCCACACCTACACCTCCTCCCTCCATGCTGCCAAACAGGCCTACTTCTTGACCCTCATCAAGGCCCTCTCCTCCAATCCTCGCTGACTCTTCTCCGCCTTCAACTCTCTACTCTCTCCACCCCCACCTCCACCCAGCACCTCACTCACTGCCCCTGAGATTGCCAATCACTTCAAAAACAAGATTGACACAATTCGCAAGGACATTGCCGCAACTCACACACCCTCTTAACCCGTCCCCTCTCACACAGCTACCCCCTTATCCCCCCTCCCCCTCGACATAACCCGCAGGGACTTCGTCGCTGCTCAAACTCTCTCCAACCCCCTTCACCCTCACTCAGCTACCCCCTCATCACCCCTCTCCCACGGCCCCACCACTGCTCTGACCTCCTCTTCCACCCCACCCTACATTCCTCATACTGAAGCTCCCCCAACACTTCACACCTTTGACCTTACTACCATCGGGGAAGTCTCCCAGATCCTCTCTGATGCCCGCCTCACCACCTGCCCCCTCGACCCTATCCCCTCACAACTCCTACGACCTCCTTCCCCCTCCATCCTACGCTCCCTCACCCACATCTTCAATCTCTCCCTCTCCTCCGGCACTTTCCCCTCCCCTCTGAAACATGCACACATCACCCCCATACTTAAAAAGCCCTCCCTGGACCCCAATGACCCGAACAACCTCAGACCCATCTCCCTGCTCCCATTTACATCTAAACTCCTCGAGCGCCTAGTCTACACCCGCCTATGCTCTCACCTCAACGACAACAACCTCCTCGATCCCCTACAGTCCGGCTTCCGTCCCCTACACTCCACCGAAACTGCCTTACTCAAACTCTCCAACGACCTGCTAACCGCCAAAGCTAATGGCCACTATTCAGTGCTCCTACTCCTTGACCTCTCTGCGGCCTTCGACACAGTCGACCACCCCCCCTCCTCCTCAAAAAAAACACTCCCTCGGCCTCAGAGATTCTGCTCTCTCCTGGCTCTCATCCTACCTGTCACAACGCTCCTTCAGCGTTACCTATAATGCTACCACCTCCCCCTCACTCCCCCTCTCTGTTGGGGTCCCTCAGGGCTCTGTCCTCGGGCCCCTTCTCTTCTCCATCTATACCTCCTCCCTTGGCCAACTCATACACTCTCACGGCTTCAACTACCACCTCTATGCCGATGACACACAAATCTATCTCTCAACCCCCCACCTCACCCCCTTGGTCTCAGCCCGAATCACACACCTACTGAGCGACATATCAGACTGGATGTCACTCCACTTCCTTAAATTGAACCTCTCCAAAACCGAGTTTCTTGTCTTTCCCCCAGCCAGGACACCACCCCCCATTGACTTCTCCGTCACATCCAACAACGCTACCATCAAACCCGCCCTGCAGGCCAGAGTACTTGGTGTCATTCTGGACTCCAACCTATCCTTTCAACCCCAAGTCCAATCTTTAACAAACTCGTGCAGACTCCACCTCCGCAACATCGCCAAAATCCGCACGTTCCTAACCCCAGAAACCACTGAACAGCTCATCCACTCCCTCATCATATCACGACTCGACTACTGCAACTCCCTCCTCACTGGCCTGCCTCGCCGCTGGCTATCCCCGCTTCAGTCGATCCTGAATACGGCTGCCAGACTCATTCACCTTTCCAACCGCTCTGTCTCCGCCACCCCCCTCTGCGAATCCCTCCACTGGCTTCCGATTGCGCAACGGATCAAATTCAAAATCCTAACGCTGACGTACAAAGCTGTCCACCATACTGCCCCGAACTACATCACTGACCTAATATCCAAGTACCGCCCAGCACGCACACTCCGCTCCTCACAAGACCTCCTTCTCTCTAGTTCCCTGGTCTCCTCCTCCCATGCCCGCCTCCAGGACTTCTCCAGGGTGTCACCCATCCTCTGGAACTCCCTGCCCCAACCCATCAGATTATCACATTCTCTCCTCTCCTTTAGGCGCACCCTGAAAACCCATCTCTTCAGGGAAGCCTACCCCACCCCCTGCTAACTTGCCGACCTCCTCCACTCTTCCTACCACTCCATCCTCCACAGCTATCTCCTCCTGTGCCACCATCCTCTCCCTCCTAGATTGTAAGCTCCAAGGAGCAGGGCCCTCAATCCCCTCATGTTTTGCATTGTATTGTTCTTGTTCTGTCACATGTTCTGTCCCCCTTTGTAATGTACAGCGCTGAGTGAACTATTGGCGCTTTATAAATACTGTATAATAATAATAATATACACACAGCTGAATTACTCACTTGATTCCCATAGGCAGATCCCAATGAGATTCAACCTGATGAGTTAAGCTGGGTATGAAAACAGTTTTTTCCGTTCAATCAGCAGGTTGAATAAATAAAAAAAAACTGACAGATCCCCATATCAATACAAAACTATGTTGATGCAGGGATCTCTCCCAATGTGCTATTGTATTGAGACAGCAGGGACTGCAGGAGAATACACTGCTGAGAGCTTGCAGCTTTTGGCTACAAGCGCTGATCAAATGCTGGTTTTCCAGCATTTCCATTCACAGAAGAGTACACACATACCTAAAGTCTACCAGTTCAGCACCTTTTGGCAGTTATGTGTCTTGGCTTTAGTTATGCAAGCATTGCTGGGATTTGCAATCTAATTGTCATGGAGGCATTCAGTAATGTTTTTCCGTAAAATTGTATACAAAATGTAAATTTATATGTAAAAACATCACTTTATGAACTTTCAACCTAAATTTAAAATGCACAATAAAATATACCAATAACCACAATATTTTTCCCTGATTGGACTGTAGAATAATACCAGCACATGGATGGATTATGGAAGATTTCACTACCACTTCGCAGGATCTCTTTAAATTTTACTTTGGATAAAGTTGTGAGTGGAGCATTAACCAACTTTCTCTGACTCCTATTTTTCTGTCTGCTAGTAACGACAGCACTAATGTGCTGTATACCACAGAGGCTTATTCATGTCTACTTATCCCTTTTTAAACTATAGCCAAATTAATTTAAGGTGTGCCTAATACTTAGAGTTCCTGCTTTCCATCAGCATCCAAAATATACTACTAAAAAGGTCAGTTTTTAAGTGACTTGGTATAAGCTGATATAGAAGTGGGAAATCAGAAAATCGCTTAGCTTATTTATAAAATGTGTCTGAAGGAAGCACTATTCTTGACAGAAATAATAAAGTGCAGATGGCTAATCTGTGCAATTTGTCTTATCTACAAAAGGACAAGTGAGGCAGAGACTTCATAAACTGTGATTATACAGCGCTATAAAAAAAATCTTGGCAATGTACAAACTATACAATAGTTTATAATGTACACACAAGAGAATGTTATCATGTGATGTATTACAATGATTGTGGTTCTTTCATGGCCTGTAAAAATATATCTAATGTGCTATGTTATATCGTCAGAATCTCCCTTACCCGCATAGCCTTTACACCATCCAATAATAGCTCTGCTGTTGGAACCTGCCGGGTGCCCAATTTATCTTTTAGCCTCTGAACTTCTATTCCATTTAATTGTCCCTTTGAATCTCGTACTTCCAGGTAGAAAAGGGACAGTCCTTTAGTGCCCTATAAAAAAACCACAAAACAAATGTTTAAACACCCCAAGCATATATGTGTACACACACACGTCTCCCAATTAGTACACCACCCATCAGCATTAGTCAAATCACATGCTTTTTTTTGGGGGGGGGGGGGGGGGGAGTACTTGCTCTGAGTTAGGAAAAAAAAGCATAGGTGAAGTTTCAATGGTCTCTCCAGCTACCAGAGCCTTTAGAGGGTGTTCTGTTTTCAATCAGACACTGTCTGGTACATTTGTAATAAGAGGAACAGCAAGCCATAATCAGTGTGCCAGCACTACAAGGCAGAATGCATATGTATTGAGCACAATTGATTGCTTACCACGTACATTTATGATTACAAACCATACAAAGGAACAAGGCTTTTAACACACATTAATACGGTAACTTACATTAAGTTGACCTCCCTAATGCCTTTTTAAAAAATGTTTAAAAACGAGTTTCCCTTTAACATGGGGTAGATATTTTATGACTGTGATTTAATACATACTTGTATTATATGTCCTTGTTCATCAACCATTCTTCCTAGAGTCAAAGACATATCAGAATCTGTGGCTGATGTAAACCATTTGTAGCCATGCAGTGTGTAGGTTCCATCTGGTTTTGGATAGGCCATCGTCTCTGTACCATGAGCTAAAATAGAAAAGTTTAAAACTACTGTATTATATGTATATTTATAGCATCATTTCTAAAAAGCACCCGCTGGTACATTACATACCCACATCTGATCCTCCTTTGCGTTCTGTCATCCATTGTCCTGAAGTCCAAAATTGGTTTGGATCTCGAGAGGTAAGGTGTTTGAAGGCATCCTGAAGAGCAACTGGGCTACCTAGAGTCTAGTAATGTGTTAGAATGCTTAAACTGTTATAAGGCATTTCACTGACCAGCTAATTCAAATTCTTGAATTCTTAAGTATACATTTTACATTTCTTTGGAAACAGAGAAAGCCACATCACCTTCTCATGGATGTGTGATTCTATGGGGAGGAGGAAATGACATCACCTCCTCCTCATTTAAGTATGGATGGGGATGTTGCACCTCCATTTCACCTCACTTTTTCAGAAAATTGGATAGTCAATGACCTTGGAACGTTTAGGGATAGGGATGCTCTAAGGTAGCCCTAATTGGTAATGTCAAAGGTCATAATAATAGGATAATTCGCTTTAGTTGTGCTCACCAACTCAGATTTTACATAGTCAGGTTAAAATAAAGACACATGGCAAATTCATACCTCTCTGAGCCAACAATATACATATAAATAAAAACTATAAAATATTAGTAGCCATTTTTAGTTTGCGCATTAAGACCCCTTTCATACAAGGCAGACTCCACTTGTGATCTGCTTGCTCAGCAGGGGTTTTTTTCAGCTGATCCCCCGCTGAACAGGCTGCTGACAGGTCCTTCTCTGCTCTGCTTATACAGAGCGGACACGGACACAGCCCTCTCTCCTCTATGGGCAAGCGGATGTAAATGGACATATGTCTGATTAGACGGAGGGGAATGGATCCCCCTTCCATTTTGTTTTTGCTGGATTACATCAGAGGTAGCCATGTGTAATCCGACACGTCTGTTTACATCTGGCTGCCCATAGAAAAGAATGGAAGGTTTGGTCGGGTCCACCTGAAAAAGGGACAGGCGGACCCGACTGGACCACCGTGTGAAAGGGGCCGTAGACATCTTTTGAAAGCAGTATCCTAGATGGTTTCTGTGGCAGATTTTTCAATATTTTCACAGTGTTCACAGCAAAGTACCCTTTCCATATGCAGAGATTTAACCTGTTTTCCTTCATTATGTCTTTTGTGGGAAACAACTTTTTACTAAGTTTACTGTATGGACTGCATATTGAGGATGAAGTGTTACTAATGTTTTGTACAGAGACAAGACTCTGCAGCAGCTGGCACTACAGATTCTCTAATCCACACAATCACTTCTAATGGCAACTATATTAGTTTTTTAACAATTGTTTCTTGGTTTTTACAGTGCATATGCAAATTCCAGTTTCCTAAAATATTTGAAGTCAATGCCCATCCTGTTTTCCACAGCATTTAGATCTGTTATAATCAGATATATGCTAAGATTCTAGTTTCTTTTTTTTTTTATTCTTCTACATGGGAATTACTATAAGTGGTTCTGAAAAAGCACTGGGGTATGTTATGTGGTCAATTCATTACACAAAGATAGCACAAATAAAAACACAAAGTATGCTCTATTGGCTCAATCAGACTGGTTACCTCTATAACCTTGGCAGCACCATCTGTCATAGCTAGAGGGCATGTAAACAAGCCTGAGGATGGTGAATACAGGTAGAGCTTCACAACCTGGATCAAGCGGCTACCAAAGAAAACAGAAAATTAATTAAATTATTTACATCCTATACCATTCAATTACTACTGAACATGTTAAAAAAAACAGTGACGTTCTGCTAAATATACACATACACTATAAGATCAATGGTATCATAGCTGAAATCCAGGTGAACAGATAAGTAGGCAACTGAAATACACCAAAGGATTTTAAATACAGGTAAATACAGCTTTCCTTGTGGCTTATTTTGTAATTCATTTACCATGTAAAATCAACCTGGTCTTTCTTGTAATAAAAAAAAAGGCAAAACAATGAAATCATTATATATCAAAATACATAATGAATACTTTTCTTTTTATAAAGTTCAAAGACCCACAATGTGATAAACAATCTATATGTTGGCGTGTGGAGGTGGGGTTTTATATGCACTTCCTTATTTTATCTGGAGCAGTTGCTGCCGTGGCAGAATTTGCCTAGTGCCCCAGGTGAGTGAGAAATCTATGTATTTTCTATGAAAATCTGATGTACCTGAATAAAGCTGGCCATAGGTGGTTAGTTTTTTTCATTCAGCCAGCGGCTGAACACTGACTTTAATCAATGTATGGCCATTATAAATTTGGTATTGACATCGGGTATTGAGGGATAGAAGAAATCTCTAGTCTTACAGGGGCTGACTACTGAGTGAGGACTTCTCTATATAAAGGTTTCTAGCAGATGCAAGGGGGTGTCAAACAATCAGAGATAATCTTTAGTGAGTATCAGGTTTATTATGCTTTTGTTAGAAAGAATGTGGGAGTATACTTAACATTCCATAAGCAATGCAGGTTCAGTAATTAGCAACTACTCAGAAATGCTCTCATATGATCTAGTGTTAGAAATCCGATTTGATTGCTATTTATTACTGCAGGGCAAGAATGCCCTTTGCACCCTTGTATAATTTTGTCCAGTAATTATCGGCAACACTTAAGGGTCATTTTATAATGCATCGGCTGGTGTGTGGTGCAGTCCGGTGGGAATCACCGCTCTGTACTGCACCATACTTTTTTTTTTTTTTTAAATAAACTTTATTGAAAAAAAGTTACACAGATATTCCATAAAGTTCAACTGGCTGTCGTGTGATGGTGTGCTAAAAAAAAAAAAAAAAAAAAAGTAGTGCATGCACTACTCTTTTTCAGCGCACCATGCCCCCGCACCTCTGCAAAGCAGTGGTGTGAATCAGGCACAAAGTTGAACTTCAGGCAGATTTAAAAAGGTACAAATTAATGCATTTCTGTAATCATTATTGCATAAAGTGTATTTTGTATAATGGAAGCAGTACAAGTAGCTGTATTTAACTTGGCATCAGCCTCTTGCAACCTCTTGTAAATCAGAGCTCAGATTGGAGGAGCGACAAGCAACAAAAGGAGCCGCTCAGTTTTGATTTAGTACATGGAGCATGCCCATGGGAGGACAGAGAAAGATGTCAGAGAGTTGGGTTTATCAGTCTGCTTCTCCCTCACTATCCATTTATAGGCTGGTAGATGGAAAAGAGCTGAAAGTGTTTCCTGCCCTGCCAGACAGGGCTAAATTGTGTAACAGAGCTGTGAAAATCTCAGGACTGGATGGACATTAAAACAAATCTTTTGGCAGGTAAAGCAGCTCCCTTATATCTATTTTATCTGTGTATTTAGCTGTTTCCCTGAAATTCAGCTTTAACTGAACCAAAAAGGGGTCTGAAAAGGACTTGCAGTAATAGTAGGTGTCTATGACGCAAAACTGTTGACAACTTTATAAAATTCTTAGGTGTTTTTCCCTACACCCATTAGTATACTTCGCCCGTTCTGCAAAATACAAAACCAGTTGATCTTAGCAGGAAATAACCAACTAGATAAAAGCAGGGCATGTGCAATAACAAAAACCAAATTGTTGATAACGACATGATAACTCAGTCACTAACAGGAAACAAAATCATAGCAGTTTATCTAAGCGGTTACAATCATCTTCATCATCAAATGTGGCAGTGATGTGACGCCAAACTAAGATGCTACAGTTGTAGTAATTGCAAGAGATTAAACATCAGATGACCATTATTTACGCACTATCTACTACTCTTAAAGGGTTAGTTCACTTTTAGAAAAAAAATACCCAGTGCAACCTATAAACACTTCCCATAACTCAAAATTAATCAGATTTTAGAAATATGCATTTATGCGGTTTCCATACCTGTAGGTCATTTGTGCAGGGAGTGAAGCCTCCTGCCCTAAACCCTCCTGACAATTTTAAAAACTCTGTCCTGTCTTCCTTCTACAATGGACCAGCCATCAGGATGAGTGGCCCCCGTGTAGTACAGGAGCAAATACAGTCAAAACCTATTCTGCCTCCACCTAACAACTGTACATGTATTTTCTCCCTCGGCTCATCCCCCCAAGTTATTACCATTTGTATCACTTGACCCCTCCCCTTTGAGATTACAGGCTCTAACTAGCAGGGCTCTCTGACTTTGTATTGTAGTGTATTGTATTGAATAGTATTGTAACTGTACTGTTTGCCCTCACGTTGTAGAGCATTGTGCAAACTGTTGGCGCTATACAATATTATTATTATTATACAGGATTTTTATAGCGCCAACAGTTTGCTCAGCGCTTTACAATATAATGGGAGACAATACAGCAGCAATACAGTTCAATACAAGAGGGTTAGGAGGGCCCTGCTCCTTGGAGCTTACAATCTAAGAGGGAGGGGCTAGTGGTACAACTGTGGGGGATGGACTGGTAGGAGGAATAGAAGATTCCATTGTTAGCTGAGGGAAGGATAGGCTTCCCTGAAGAGATCGGTTTTCAGTGAGCAGAGTAGGCGATAGTCTGATAAATTGGGGGTAGTGAGTTCCAGAGGATGGGGGAACCTCTGGAGAAGTCCTGGAGACAAGCATGAGAGGAGTATAATATAATAATTTCCCGAGCAACGCACATTCACAGTGTACTCTCCTGTTGCCACAGATGAGCTTGGCGGCTGCTGTGACAGGCAAGAGAGCGTTATGCACATGTGCAGGGCTCAGCAGAAGGATGGCACTTGTTCCTGTACCATTAGGAGGTGCTTGTCCTAACAGGAGACAGATTGGAGCTTTGAAAACGGTCAGGTGTGTTTGGGGCTAGCTGCAACCCCTTGCACAAAAGACTTACAGGTATGGAAAGATAGTGCATATTTTTGAAATATGATTAGTTTAGGATAATGGAATGGTGTTTATGGGCTGCATATGGTAGTCTTTTATAAAATCAACTAACCCTTTAAAGTGAGAGTCAGCAATCTGTTGATCGCAGGCAGGTGACAAATAGATTGTGTCGCTGCCTTGCCTACTCTCCATCTGAATTGCTCCTCCTACATCTTCAGAGCAGTACAGGTAAGCAACAACCCTAAATGTACTGCGCTGATCAGCGCTGGCCCTCTTCTCCTGTCCTCTTGTTCCTAGGTGCTGGTATGTGACATTACATAGGATGGAAGAGAGGAGGGCTGGCGCTGATCAGCGCAACAGAAGAGGTAGCAGAAATGTGTCACTGCCGCTTTGCTGCCCTGAGTATGGGGAAATCTATGCCTTGCTGACCCCTGTACATTACCCTGCTGATCCACGTTCTCCACCCTGCTGAGAACTGTTCTCTGCCCTGCTACCCTCTGTACAAAGCTCTGCTGACCCCTGTCCTCCTTCCTGCTGACCCATGTCTTCTGCACGCTCGCTCTGACTGTGTCGGAATGAAGAAATCCCGTGTACATGTTGATATTGGCTACCGGCCAATTAAGAGGCTGAAATCCTGGCACCTGGAAATAGCCAGGGAGAAAAGGACAATGCCTAGTAAAGGAATTAACCGCTGAATCCCTGAAATGAGGAGATATTTTAGTTTAGTTCCACTTTAAAAGTTTTTTTTTTTCATAATGTAGTTTAACTGCTTGACTTTTGGAAGATTTTACCCCCTTCATGACCAGACCTTTTTTTATTTGCTATTCAGCACTGCGCAACTTTAACTGGCAACTGCGTGGTCATGCAACACTATAAAGCGAATTAATTTTTTTATAAATAAATAATTTATATAATTTTTTTTCACACAAATAGAACTTTCTTTTGGTGGTATTTGATCACCACTGTGGTTTTTTTTTTTTGTTATTTTATTTTTTAATTATATAAACGAAAAATACTAAAACATTTGAAAAAAAAAATATTTTTCTACTTTCTGTTATCAATCATATTTTATAAAAAAATTTAAAAATCCAAAATATATCAAGTGTATAATAATTGGTTTGTGTGAAACTAGGATATATATATATATATATATATATATATTTAATTTAAAAATTAATCAATTCTGATGTACTAATGGCATGTTATTTCTTGAGGTTTCCAAAGGATAAGTTTACCTTTTAACAAAAAAATAATAAATGCACATTTTTTTTGCAGGTAAAAAAAAATGTGTATTTACTACTTTTTGTTTTAGGAGCCTGGAAAGCATTGCACCAGTGATCAGCAGATTGTTGGTGCCATGCAGGTCTCCTGCAGACTGTCAGTGTAATCTGTCTGCTGTAGTTGAACTTCATAGCAGCAAGCAGTTTTACATAGACAGGAAGAATCAATGAACTAGAGAACAGCGCTCAACAACGCCATGGTAGTTCATGGAGAACTACAAGCTGACAGCAACAAAGGTTGTCAGGATTTGTAGTTTCCTATGCACAGGCCCGAATGGCTGAGTTTAAAAAAAAAATTGTGACAGCAAGTGGGGGGGGAGAAGATCCTCCTCTAGCTGTTACAACAGGGGATCGGGGGGTGTAACATGTAACAAAAGGTGGACATATCCTTTAAAATGCCAGGACAGTACATCTACCCCTCAAATGACCCCTTTTCGAAAGTAGACAGTCTGATGTATACAGTAAGAAAAAGAAAATATATATATTTTTTTCACAATTTTTTTTTTAACTTTCTTTTTAGAACTGAAACTGTGTATCATAGACAGAAAATCATAAGGTACAATATTCCAAAAAGTGAGAATGAGGCAGCATATGCACCAAGAAAACAATACACAATGGATTACAAAGTCCAAAAGAGATTTCCATAAGGCTGGGTATATTCCAAAAAGAATGGGTTAATCAGGCTAAATATACATCTCAAATACATGACAGCTGTATAACAAAAGACAACTAATTCTAGAAAATTATCAAACTGTAATAGCCTATTACTGTAAATTACTGATAAGATCCATGGTAGAAAAAGTGGTAGATCTAGCTTGGTAGCATCAAGAGAGAAAAGAGTAAAGGAAGAAAAAGGCAACAGAAAGAAAGAAGAAGCAAAAGATGAAATACTGCACTGCCCCGGGCACCCATATAAGACCTTATATGGGTAAAGCACCCCAACGTGATTTTTAGGTATATAATCGTGGTTCCAAAAGATGCCAGGGACGCCGGTTCTTGTTGAATCATAAAATCGTATTTTTTCAAGCGAGCAGTCAGATATTCCATATCATAAATGTCATGAATACGTTTATATAAATCTACTTGAGACGGGGCAAATCATTTCAAAGCAATCAGACACCTGGTTGCCATTAGAACATGGTTAATCAGCCTAACAGCAGTTTTGGTTATGTTAGGTGAAGGGAGCCCCAGTAAGAAATGTACTGGCTCCTGTGGAATCGACAAATCAGAGTGACTGCAGTAAAGATATAGTGGTCTCCCAAAATGGGCTGATTTTTGGGCATTCCCACTGATTCACCACAACGCCAACATGTAGATGACATAGCAGGACTGATGGCATGTAGTGTTTCAGGGGTAAGGTACAAGTGAAACAAAATGATATATTGGTTCTCTTTATAAAGGGTACACAAAGATGTTTTTTCACATTATCCCACAATTTTTTTATATTTTTACATACTGTCACCAGTGCATTACAGCATTATCGTATGACTGGTGTGGCGGTGATCAGGGACACTGACTGATGGCAGTATGTTAAAAAGAAAAAAAACTTTTTATTCAATTGTTTATACATTTTTAATTTCTTCTTTTTTTTTTTTTTTTTAACATACCTTCATCAGAGTAGTTCAGTGTCGCCAAAGTAACACTGTACTACTCTAGGGGGTGAAAGGGATTTTTTTTTTTTTTTTACTTTGATTACTATTACAATGATATTCACTGTAACAGCAATGTTTTGAACTGTCATGACTGGGTTACATTCATAAACAGCTGTGATTACTAGTGATCTATGATTGGCTACCGCCAAGTACATGGTACAGGGTGTTGTGATTGGTCCAGGTACCATGTGATAGCTGTGGACCAATCACAGTATCACCCTGTAGGAAGCACAGCTGTTATAAGTGACATTCATTCATAACAGCTTGAATAAGGTGTACAGAACATGCAACCTACACTCTCAACACATCCAACTATCTCTTATATATATGCCATTCTTATGAAAGTTCAATGTGCCAAAAAATGTGCAAATACAATATCATATATAACATCAGCTTATATAAAGTGCAAAATTATCAATTATGTAAACCTTCCCTTAAATAATACATAAAATCCAGTCCTATATTTAATCTATCTTGAACAAAAAGAAAAAGTGCTCTGTGTGACGAAGTACAAAAAATAGTACATAAATATATCACATACATTAACGTTTTCATAAAGTGCAAAGATACCTCTATGCAACAAATTCTTAAATTATACCAATTAAATTATTCAACATTACTCCATAGAATCAAAATGTGCTCTAGGGTCCATGATAAATGAAAACACTCCACCTGTGAAGATAAACTTCTATCCTTTGTAGATGGAGACAGTCTAGTAACACCAGCAAGTGCTCTTCCACCACCCAATAGATTGAATAAACTCACCAGAGAAATATGCTGGTCAGATCAAAAACCAGCAAAAATGCATGTTGCTCTTGGAGTGACATTCTGCAGACTGTGGTCCTATATCCAGGGGCTTCTTGGAACAGCACACTTGCATGTGTCAAACACTCATAGAAGGAAAAAGAGAGGAGCTTCCATAGCGCAAAACAATTATAAATATTTATTGTATGAAATCAGTAAAAGGCCACTCACATTCTCAGGTGTCATCACTGACACCAGTATGATCACATAAACATGTAAACCCGGGTTATCTCCAGCCGTAAACACAAACCGCAACGTTTTTAAACACAATTGCGTAGGGCGGGGCATGGAGGCGACGGTAGCACGAGGAATTTAGTCTTGCGGTTTGTGTTTACGGCCGGAGATAACCCGGGTTTACATGTTGATGTGATCATACTTGTGTCAGTGACGACACCTGAGAATGTGAGTGGCCTTTTACTGATTTTATACAATACATATAGTGGTTTTACGCTATGGAAGCTCCTCTCTTTATCCTTCTATGAGAGTGTGATATATGCAGCTGCCCTTTGTATACAGCATTGACTCCAGGATACCAATGTCTATGTAGCCACAAACACCAAAGCGTTGGAATGATGTATACATATTAAACACAGATTTACAGCAATATGCTGGAAAAGTGTAATATTGCCTTACAGGCAGTATTCAGGGCTTGCCCAACACATATTTAGAATACTGTGTCTAGTTCTGGAGACATCACTTGCAAAAATATATTGATAAGATAGAACGAGTTCAGAGATGGGTAACAAATATGGTGAAAGGTCTGGGGGATAAAACATATCAAGAGTGACTTCAGGAACTGAACATGTGCAGTTTGGAGGAAAGAAGGGAAACTGGAGACATGATTGAAACCTTTAAATACATCAAGGGGGTAAATAAGGTTCAGTAGGGCAGTATTTTCAACACGAAACCAAAATCAAGAACACGGGGACATGACCTTCAACTGGAGGAAAGTTCAAAACTAATCTCAGAAAGTACTATTTTACTGAAAAAGAGTAGTTGATGCTTGGAATAAACCTCCAGCAGAGGTAGTGAGCCAAACAACTTCAAAACATAGCTTCAAACATGCTTGGGACAAGCAGAGATCTATACTCAGAGAAAAAAAAAAACCCAAAACTACAACAAAAACAAAAAACAGAAGAAAACAAAACATCCTCTCCCCCACAAAAGAAATAAAACAGAGCAGACTCGATAAACCACCCCCGTCACTCTTCTGTTTCTACATACTAAGAGAATAAGTATGGCACGTAAACCTAAAATCTCGGGTCTGACTGCTTCAACAGACAAATCCCCAGGGAGAAGACATTGATAAGCCTAAGGCCTTTCACCTCCTAGAATATCGACTGATTTTTGTATTCACATATTTACCTCCAACTAGAGTATTTCCTTTCATAGGCTTCTGCTATCAAGCCCTCTTCTGCAGAAAGCTCTTTCATTCTTTTCCAGGCTGGGCAGGTGATGATGCGATCGATCCTGCAGCCCCAGGCATCATACTGCTGCAGTTGTGGTAGGTAGGTTAATTCACATTCTCGTCCAAGAGAATTAATCTCTTCCACTATGCGTTGTCCAAACCGCTCAAGATCACGGCTTGCTTGCTCAAGAACCTGCATACCATAGACAAAAAGTAAAGCAACTGTATGTCTCACGTAAGTTACAGAATTTGTACAAAGTGTGTTTTACCTCATCTCAGAGACATTATAGCTATAAATCATTCAAGCTGTAATGATTTCTCTACCACCTCTATAATAAAAATACATTTTTGGAAATATCAAAAAAAGTGAAATTCTTGAATTAAAATAGTAATGTGAAAGATTACAGTAAAGCCATGCTCCTGTTAAAAATTAAGAATAAAGAAAACAAAACAACACACAGCTCTTCTTGCAATACTCACCTTCAAGTTGTCCCCGTCTTCTGGGCTGACTGATGGCCATCAACATTCAAGTCACTTTTTTTTTTATTTTAAGTGCAAGATGGGATTATTTTCAAGTTCTGCAGTTTAATTTTTCTCCATTAAAGCCTATCAACCATCTACACTGAAGATATAATATCATACTTGTTCATGTTAAAAGGTAGAGTCTTTTAGCCAAATCATTCTTACATTAGTGAAAACGGATATAGCAACAACATCCATAAATAACAGAATGTATTTAATATCTGTCGAATACTTTATCAACATTTGAAAATTATTGCTCAGAGCACTTTTAGGTTACAATGTGGTTTATATTTAAACAAATCTATTTTTCTATTAAAGTTTTCAACAATTTAAATGTTCAGAAATGTGTCTTTATTGAGAGAACTGTAAATTGTCGAGAGGATAAATGGGGAATAAAACGTCATGTATGAAGCTGAAAAACTGCATAAAGCAAAGTAGTGCAGAGGACAGAAAATATGTGATTCCTTTTCTTTTAGAATTTGTAACATGTGTTTTCCTGTTTGTACAGAATTTAACTAATATAATCAGTCCTGGAGGGTTTATGGGCCAGATGAAAGCATTTTTAGTTCCATGTTAAAAACTAAAGTTCAGAACACACTGTTTACAATGACCGTACCACACTCTAGTTAAAGTAAATGACCCCTGAGTTGTGTTTTTTTTGACACGAACCTAAAAGGCTCCAGGCTGTATGGGCAACCGGTTTCTTTTTTCTTTTGTATAAAATTCTAAACTGATAGATACCCCATAAAAAAAAGAAGCAACGTAAAATCAACTGCCTACCTGAAAATAATTTTTTTTCCATATAGTCGTTAGATTTATCAATAACCTCAAAGCAATATGGCAATAGCAATTATGTACTGAATATAAAAGAGGGAGGAGAGAGGGAAAGAGGGGAGGATAAGATACACTGCAACTATGCTCACATCAGACATGTCATTTAATCTATCCAAACCTGAATTCTATGTGATCCCACTTCCCCTTCCTGCTTCAATTTTGTCACATCTGCGGTTACAAATAGGTGGAAATAAGTATACCTAGCCTCCATTTGCACGAAGTTTAACAACTAGTATTCAAAAAAAATACTAACATTGCATCAACAAACAATTCTATGCATTAGAACAGTGGTTCTCAACCTTTCTAATGCCGCGACCCCCTTAATACAGTTCCTCATGTTGTGGTGACCCCCAACCATAAAATTATTTTCATTGCTACTTCATAACTGTAATTTTGCAGTGGGAGGAGGAGTGTGCCATGTCACTGGTGTCAGTGGGAGGAATAGTGCCCCATCGTTGGTGTCAGTGGGAGGCATAGTGCCCCATCGTTGGTGTCAGTGGAGGCATAGTGCCCCATCGTTGGTGTCAGTGGGAGGCATAGTGCCCCATCGTTGGTGTCAGTGGGAGGCATAGTGCCCCATCGTTGGTGTCAGTGGGAGGAATAGTGCCCCATCGTTGGTGTCAGTGGGAGGAATAGTGCCCCATCGTTGGTGTCAGTGGGAGGAATAGTGCCCCATCGTTGGTGTCAGTGGGAGGAATAGTGCCCCATCGTTGGTGTCAGTGGGAGGAATAGTGCCCCATCGTTGGTGTCAGTGTGGTGGAGGGGATAGGAATAGTGCCCCATCGTTGGGGTCAGGGGGGGAGGAATAGTGCCCCATCGTTGGTAGTGTCAGTGGGGGGGAGGAATAGTGCCCCATCGTTGGTGTCAGTGGGGGGAGGAATAGTGCCCCATCGTTGGTGTCAGTGGGGGGAGGAATAGTGCCCCATCGTTGGTGTCAGTGGGGGGAGGGAATAGTGCCCCATCGTTGGTGTCAGTGGGGGGAGGAATAGTGCCCCATCGTTGGTGTCAGTGGGGGGAGGAATAGTGCCCCATCGTTGGTGTCAGTGGGGGAGGAATAGTGCCCCATCGTTGGTGTCAGTGGGGGGAGGAATAGTGCCCCATCGTTGGTGTCAGTGGGGGGGGAGGAATAGTGCCCCATCGTTGGTGTCAGTGGGGGGAGGAATAGTGCCCCATCGTTGGTGTCAGTGGGGGGAGGAATAGTGCCCCATCGTTGGTGTCAGTGGGGGGAGGAATAGTGCCCCATCGTTGGTGTCAGTGGGGGAGGAATAGGCCCCATCGTTGGTGTCAGTGGGGGGAGGAATAGTGCCCCATCGTTGGTGTCAGTGGGGGGAGGAATAGTGCCCCATCGTTGGTGTCAGTGGGGGGAGGAATAGTGCCCCATCGTTGGTGTCAGTGGGGGGAGGAATAGTGCCCCATCGTTGGTGTCAGTGGGGGGAGGAATAGTGCCCCATCGTTGGTGTCAGTGGGGGGAGGAATAGTGCCCCATCGTTGGTGTCAGTGGGGGGGGAGGAATAGTGCCCCATCGTTGGTGTCAGTGGGGGGAGGAATAGTGCCCCATCGTTGGTGTCAGTGGGGGGAGGAATAGTGCCCCATCGTTGGTGTCAGTGGGGGGAGGAATAGTGCCCCATCGTTGGTGTCAGTGGGGGGGAGGAATAGTGCCCCATCGTTGGTGTCAGTGGGGGGAGGAATAGTGCCCCATCGTTGGTATTAGTCACACAAATGATGGGGCACTATTCCTCCCACTGACACCAATGATACTTACTTTGCTGACCCCTGCTCCAGCCTGGGCTCGCTCTCTCACTTACCTGTCAGCTGTCTTCCTTCTCTGGCCGCTCTCCTCTTCACTCGCTCCGGCAGCTCCCTCGGTCTTCTTTGATGTACGCGCGCTCGCTGCCGCTCGGCTCCTCCTCTCCAAGCTCCACCTCCTCGCCGGTGATTGGCCGCCTGTGTGCCTCTCCTGAGCTACAGTTCCGGTGGCCAATCAGCGGCGAGGAGGCGGAGCTGCTGAGCGATCCCGGAGGTGTGGCCAGGTGACAGCAGCGTATCATCCCGCCCACACATCGCCGGAGACTGCAGCGGTGTCTCAGGTTCCTAAGACCATCGGAAATATGTGTTTTCCGATGGTCTTAGGCGACCCCTGGGAAATGGTCGTTCGACCCCCAAAGGGTCGCGACCCCCAGGTTGAGAACCGCTGCATTAGAATGACCTGATGTACTACAACTTGGCCTGGATAAAAAACAAAACATCAAGTGGAAGGTAGGCTTTGTTTGCAAGAAAAATATTTTGAGTAGAGTACAAACATCATCATAATGTAGTGTGTTTATACTCAAAATAATTTTCTAGGAGTCCAATGAGAGACATGGAGGATCTTTCACCTTCAGGTTATACTGCTGCCTACAGCAGGATTGGAACCTTTAAAAAAACAAACCTGTAAGCTAGGATGACCATTCCCATTACCAACAAGGCTCAGTTTCAAGAAAAGGATTTTAGAGTGAGTACAAAACTCCTTTTTTTGTTTTTTTCTTTTTGTCTATTGAGGTACATAGGAAGCCAAGGCTGATTGATAAACCCTCAAAGCCTGAACCACATCCTGGTATGGAGGGTATTTTCCCTAGGTCAGCTGGAGCTACAGGGGTATACCCTTGTATACACCTCTGTATACAGGGGTGACAGGGGAGTTTGTAATTTTTGTTCTTTTTACTTTTTTTTTGTCATTTAACTTTAGTGCTATCACAAGGAGGCACACCTTCAGAGCACTGTAAAAGGATCAGGCAGATCCAGAGCTGTCTGGATCACTTTTACCATGAATGCCCATCACAGACTCTAAAATCAACACAAAGTTCATGCTTGCAGCACCAGCCATAGGCTTGCTTTAACCCATTGAATACTAGAGTATCTATAAATATACCTTGGTAGAAAATGGTTTAAGAGGGAATATGATCACCATGTATAAATATACGAGTAGTCCATATAGTGAACTCAATGCAAAATGATTCATTTACAAAGGACTAGGGGGCACTCTTTATGCCTGCAGGAAAGGGGATTTAACCTCCACATATGGAAAGGCTTCTTCACAGTAAAAGCTATGAAAATGTGAATAGACTCTCATGGGAAATAGTTCTGGCCAGCTCAGTAGATATATATATATATATATATATAATATATAAATATATAAAAATAAACAAACAAACACCAGAGGTTACTGATCAAGGGAATATCCAACTGCATTTGGGGGACCAGGAAGGCTTTTTTTTTTCCCCCTCCACTGGAACAAATCGGACCGTGCTGTGTAGGGTATTTTATGCCTTCTTCTGGATCACCTTTGGGTATAGGGCTCAGTATATGGAGATTTTCTATTTATTTTTTCTGTTTATTTTTTTTATATGGTTGAATTAGGTGGACTTTTTCTTCCACCTAACTATGTAGCTATATTTGAGAGAGAGAAACAAAAAGGTGCTTCCAGCAGAACACCACATCACACTAAATGCTTCACACAATCAGTGAAGGATTCACTGTAACTATAAGAGAAGTCTTTTATGGACCCTAGACTACAAAGCTATGGTTTATCAAAGAAATGTTCAAAAAAGGTTTTCCAGCCACTTATAAGTGGGGTCCTTGAATGCAGGAATGTCTCCTACTACCATAATAGTCTCCTTTTTAAGGTAGCCACTGTTTGACAAAATGCTTTCAAAATTAGAACAAGTCTAGTATACATTTGGGGCTATCAAAGGCCTGTTGGGCCATTTCCAATCCCAATAGTGGAAGACTTCAAAAGGTGGGTGTAGTGGAAAGGTCCTTGTAGTTTCAGGGGCTCTGAAAGAACCAAGACTGGAGACTGCAGGCTGATCCTCCAACTGCAGTGGTGCACACTGCATCAATAAGAGCTGAACTGGTCTTTCAAAGTAATAGTGGAAGATACCAACAAAGATACCAACTTTAGCTGCGATGTAGGGCCTTGTGGAGCCTTGCTTTAAGAAAAAAGTGTTTCAGAAAAAAATATTCTAGCATTAGTTAGGTAGGTAGATTTGCAAAACTGAACAAAAGACAAGCATTCTCCTAGGACAGGGGTGGGCAACTGTGGCCTTCCAGCTGTTGTAGAACTACAAGTCCCATGAGGCATTGCAAAACTGACAGTTACAAGCATGACTCCCAAAGGCAGAGGCATGATGGGACTTGTAGTTCACCAACAGCTGGAGGGCTACAGTTGCCCACCCCTGTCCTAGGACACCATACTTTATCAGTTTTTTTTTTCTGAGGCATGCTGGCTGCTAGTGGTGGTGGTGGTGGGGGGTTCTTTTTAGAGGCAGTTTTGTTTTGTTTGGCAGTGCCCAATCCTTCTGTAGGTGGCAGTAGAACCTGAAGGTAAAATAATTCCTGTGTCCCTAAATGGCTGAAAAAGAAATATACATTACACTTACATTATACAGTAACAAAAAGGGTTCCATTAACCTATTGTTAACATTTGCTTAGGGAATGCAATCCAGCTATTTAGATATAACAATATTTAAGCAATACCTTACCTGCACATATAATCTAAAATACCAGTCCTAATTAAAGGTGGGAAATGCAGTTGAATCAGACACCTCTGTGTTACTACATGTGGGTCAGCAGACACTGCAAAGTTCTTATTAATACAATATTATTATACAGGATTTAATAACAATAAAACCTTTTTCACTGTAAACAAAACTTCTTACAGCTAATATATTGTTTGCATATACATGTCTATTGCTCACCAGTGGAGGAAGATGTTTCCTCAAGTAACTCTGGAGAAGGGCATCCTCAAGGAACTGGTTACCCAGCTTGGGCTGCTCCTGGAAAAAGCTTCCTATCATAGAACGAGAGAACGGCATCCGTAGCTCTTCCAGAACAGGGTGAGATTTGCTGTCTTCATTGCTAATGGCTGGAGACACTGCACTCTTACTACTCATGAAGTATGCAGGTTGGTACAGTACACGGGATCCTAAACTTCTGGCAGACCAACATGGCACCAGAAAGTTGATTAATTTCACCCTGCAATGAAAAGAATAACAGGAGAGCTATAAAATAAGAGGTTAATGGACTGCCATGAAAACTAAATAATTTTGTGAAAAAAAAAACTACATCATCTACATGACAACACTGTTAACAAATACCAATGCTTTATTTATTATAATATACATATGAAAGAGGCCCTGTCACCAGACCAAAAAAAATCTCCCTCTATTGCACGGGTGTCAAACTGGTGGCCCTCCAGCTGTTGCCAAACTACAAGTCCTATGAGGCATTGCAAGATTGACAGTTACAAGCATGACTCCAAAGGCAGAGGCATGATGGGACTTGTAGTTTCTCAACAGCTAGAGGGCCACCAGTTTGACACCCATGTTCTATTGCATGTGCTCTTTACCAATAAAAACCTCCCTTGTGTAGGCATCCAAAAGCCTTGAGACTTCTGCTGCTCACAGCCATCTAAGATGTGATGTCATCAGCAGCCCCAGCAGACACCTTCAGCTACTTGAAAGGTTCTGTAAGATACAGACAGCAATAAAAATATGATGCCCAGGGTATTTTCATTGCTCAATATGCTGACCCTAATGAACATTAAAAGGTCTCCAGTTGATGTACTATTGGTGAGCCACCTTCTCAGAGTGCATCAAGGGGACAGGCAGGCTTGTTTAGCATATATTTCTTGCAGCTACCATTGCTATTCATCAATGCTGCAGAAAACCTACAGTTTACCTTGATCTTATTAAACATAAGCTTAACTGGATTATGATTAAAAGATAAATTCACCTTTGGGAACATGTTCCATCTGTTTTTAAGATGGAACATGTTCCCGCTCCTGCAGCACCTCCCTGTAACAGCCACATGACCGTGTCATTCATTCACAGTTCTGTGAATGAATGAGCTACAAGTACCAACAGTCTTTGTCGCTGTCAGCTTGTAGTTCTCAATGAACTGCCAGGGAGCTGTTAAGCACTCTAGGTAGTTAATTGATGCTTCCTGTCAGTGTGGTACCAGGTATGAGCAGACAGCTTACACTAAAAGTCAGCTAGAGCCCTGCATTGCACCTGCAATCTGCTGATCGGGAGCACAACGCTTTACAGGCTCCTAGTAAAAGAAAAAACAATAAATGCATGTTTTTAAAAAATATGTGCATTTATTTTTTTTTTAAGGTGATCTTACCCTTTAAGGCCAAATTAAATAGCATCCAGTATGACACCCAACATAAATTTGAACAAACATGGCACCCTTGGGTACAATACAAATCTAAGTGATCTTGAGCTATGTTTCAGGAAACTGACAACATTGATCTCTGACTCATTTTCTTCTTTTTCCTTTTTCTTTGTCCGTTTTTCCATTCTCATCTTTTGTGAGCCTTTTTTTCCGCATTTATATCAAGTGTTATGCCCCGTACACACAATAAGAAGATCGTTCAAAACAATTTTGCGGAACCACTGTTTGAACAATTTTCTCTTCGTTGAAGAGTAGGATGTTTTAACAGATAACGATATTGTGAACGAAAAAATCTGGTTTAACAACAGTGAAAAATTTTCTATGCAGTGGTATGACAGTCGTACAAAAAAAAATTTATCAAGCACTATCACGCATGAGCGGAAACAGAAGATGACCCAGATGTTTATGTCCAGGGAATTTTCGAAAACACGAATGTAAAATCCAAATGTTAGAAGTAGATTGGCCTAATGAGATAATGAAACCAGAATTATGCATCACTATTTATGTACATAGATAATGTAATACACTATATTATACTCATTGCTGGTAATTGTTGTGTATATCGCTCGTTCTGGCCGGAAGGGCGTGGCTACAAGGTCACATGAACACTGCATCACTTCCATTTGTACAGAGGATGTCAACACTACGTATTACCTGGTGAATGTTTTTTGTAGATTGGGTAATGTGGGCCACGATTTGGACCAACGAACGAACGCCTCTCAGTCGTCGGATGACCATTTGGTCGATTTTCTAATTGTGTATTCCCACCTTTAATTTTGCCAATGGCGCATCAGACATTTAGACTAAATTGAAAGGAAAACCCTTCACCTTGGTTATGTTCGATTGTACCCATAAAACCCCCTTTGTTTTTTATCTTTTATACTTGATTAAGAGATCTGGGTCATAAGTAAGGTTGTGCATACTTTGGCTGGAGACAGCTACAGTATACTAATAAGCTGATAGTGAGTTCGTATTTTCTTTTTGATACATAACTACCTGCCTCTAACTCATATTCACTTGTTCTAAATTGCATAAGTCATTGGCAGTAATTCAATCAATATTATTAAATGCAAAGTGGTGTAGCGCTAGAAATAAACCAAAATAAAAGTGACAATGAGTGCACAAACAACACACAAAGTCTAGATGACCCAATAAGTGACCTATGAATGCAGTGAGCCCAATCCCAATACGGGATACAAACCAAGTGACCCCTAGTACCCACAAGTGGGACTCAAAGCTGTAGCAAGTGTATCCCTGTGGAGGGATAAAAAACACATTAAGTGCTCAAAATAACATTGACCATATAAACAGAAATGGTGTAACACAGTCCAGCAAGTGTAAACACAACAACGGTGCTTCAATCTTCTTGGTCATGCAAACAGCACACTGTGAATGCACAACACACCGGTTGGTGCTCCCAAAAATGGCTGCAATGGCCTCTTACCTCCATTAAGCGACCCCTAAGGGCCACAGAGCCTTGCGGATCATCCGTGGATCCTTCCTGTATAAATACTCCTGATGGTCTGATAACCTGGGCTGCAAAGGACCCTCTGATATCCCATGTCTTCACTGGAAAAAACCCTCTGGGTCAATAGGTAGGCAGGCAGATAGATACCTTCAAATGCTTATTCAGTGGCCCATATAGTTTATAGTTCACCATCCATTCTGTAGGGGTTTGTTTTAGCTGTAGCCTTGAGCCCTGGTCCAGGCTCCTCCTCTGCGGCGGATGCCCCATCGAAAGCCGCTTTCCATGGGGGCACCCATGCGAGCGAGCTCCCAAGCTGCCCTGTGTGCGTTTATTGACACAGAGCAGGCCCTGTCCCCCGCTCCCTTGTCACAGCATTTAATTGACAGCAGCGGGAGCCCAATGAGGCTCAGGTAAGAAAAAGAGGGGGCTGGGGGGGAGCTGCAGCACAGAAGGTTTTTCACCTTAATGCATAGAATGCATTAAGGTGAAAAACCCTAAGGCTTTAGAACCACTTTAAGGTCTGAACTATATACAGAACACAAACACACACACACACTATAAAATATCTGACCAAAGACAACAACATTATATATGGTATCAAAACTATTGTACCATGGAAAGATCTTTGATGTCCCCAATACATATACCCTAATAGGCATGTACTGTGACCTGTAGCACAGCCCTCATTCTTGAACCAGTAATGCAATGTATTAATGACAATGACCAATCTAGCCAGTACCATTCCAGTGATATGTTATCTGTTACAATAAAAAGTACCCAAAGTAGGGCTGAAACAACTAATCGACACAATCGAACATAATTGATATGTCATATATAATACATAATATCTATTTCACAATATAAATTAACTCCTTATAGTAGTTATCCAAAGGTCTTATGCTGGCCATACACGTATCGATTTTCGGACAAAAAGTCTTTGTACATTCAATGAATGGACAAATGACATTCAAAAAGTTCACCTACTTTTAACATTCAATTTTAAAATGAATGTAATTTCTGAATGAAAATCACATACACTGTTAGATCGAGAAAAGCTTTTTATTCTGCTCTTTCAAGCATCAATTTGACCCCACTAATGATTAGAAAATCGAACACACATTCTTAAAACAAACATTTTTGAAGGAAAAATGAATTCTTGCATGGCCAGCAGGCACAGGTAATTTGTATCAAGCTACCTGCCTATGAGAAGGAAGTCTCTCAAGCATATTATTATATTACAATCCTATAAGAAAATCTGAAAAACAATATTTTAGGTCTTTAAAAAATGTTTTCCTTTAAATAAAACTGTTGATCTCTGAGTCTGATGATACAGTTGCTAGAAAAAGTATGTGAACCCCTTGGGATTACGTGGAGTTTTGCATGAATTGGGCATAAAATGTGCTCTGAACGTCATCTAAGTCACAACAATAAACACAGTCTGCTGAACATAATACTACACAAACATTAGATGTTGCCATGGTTTAATTGCCCATAACATGTAAACATTCACAGTGCAGGGAGGAAAAAGTATGTGAGGCCCAAGCTTAATGACTTCTCCCAGAGCTAATTGGAGCCAGGAGTGAGCCAACCTTGACTCCAATCAGTGTGATGATATTGGATGTGTTGCGGACAGCTGTCCTGCCCTTAAAAAACACACACCTGTTTTGGGTTTACTGGTTTCAAGAAGCACTGTCTGATGTGAACCATGTTTCACAGAAAAGAGCTCTCAGAAGACTACGATCAAGAATTGTTGACTTGCACGAAGCTGGAAAGGGTTACAAAAGTATCTCCAAAAGCCTTGATGTTCATGTGTCCATGGTAAGACAGACTGTCTACAAATGGAGAAAGTTTAGCACTGTTGCTACTCTCCCTAGGCATGGTCGTCCTGTAAAAATGACTGCAAGAGCACAGCGCAGAATGCTGCATGAGGTAAAAAAGAATCCCAGAGTGTCAGCTAAAGACCTACAGAAATCTCTGGCACATGCTAACATTTTTGTTGACACATCTACAATAAGGAAAACATTAAACAAGAATGGAGTACATGGGAGGACACCACGGAGGAAGCCATTGCTGTCCAAAAAGAATATTGCAGTACGTTTGAAGTTTGCAAAAGAGCACCTGGATGTTCCACAGCACTACTGGCAAAATATACTGTGGACAGATGAAACCAAGATTGAGTTGTTTGGGAAGAACACACAACACTATGTGTGGAGAAAAAAAGGCACAGCACACCAACATCAAAACCTCATCCCCACTGTAAAACATGGCGGAGGGAGCATCATAGTTTGGGGCTGCTTTGCTGCCTCAGGGCCTGCACAGATTGTTGTCAT